GCGAGAATGGGTGGACGAATGGATTGCTTCGAAACAAACATCGTTTTATCGAGATGGTATCGCCCAGTTGCCAGAAAGATGGCAAAAAGTTGTAGAAAGTGATGGAAAATACTTTCATTGAAATAATTTAAATAAATTTTTTACAATAAATGCTTTTTCTCAGTATTTTTTGGGCGGAAACTAAGTTAAGGTCCTAATATTTCAATTAAATTTTGCTTTAATTTTACATTATATATAATAGACTCACACCTATCATATAACTTATCACACCTATCATGTAACATATCGTATATACTTCTAGACGGAAGAATCTATGTAAATGAACAAAAGTTATTCTAACATTGAAAGTTATTCATAATTAGGACCGTTACTTTATTTTCCGCAACATTCAAATCAAGTAAAAATGAGTGTGTATTTAACTGGAATAAGAAATGAGTATTCGTAATATTAATAATAATTGGGATAAAGTGTCGGATTTGATATGGAAGGTTGATTCGCCGCGTATAACAGATCGCGAAAAACCGGTAAAAATTTCAGTTTGCAACGGCAATTTTGATTCTTAAAAGTCTTAATTCTCTCACTTTAATTTAAATTGTTTTAATTATAAATTATACTTTAAATTACTTTGAACATATGATCGATTGTTAATTATTTACGCGATATTGTGCTCTTTACTTATACTTCTCTATAATAAATTTTCAATTAATTTTTTAATTAACTATGGAACTAAGTGAAACTTTGGAATTAAGTAAAACTTCAAATTTGAGAACAGCTAACTGTGAAGTTAATTAGAAAGGTAAATTGCAAGTTGGTGGTGGGAAAAAGGTTAACTAGCTGTTCTCGTACGACGAGGTTTCACCATTTTCAGAGACCGCGCTGCACGTGCTGCAGTTGACCATGCCGAAAATAATCTTCTGCAACGAGCGTTCCGTAAACGTGGTGCTGCAAGCGATACACGAGAATAAATATAATGCCAAGTTGGTGGTCTTCGGCAAACATCCCAATGTGATCTCGTTCGCAAGCATTTTGAGTAAATATAGCGACTCGCAGGCGATGGGTTTCCGCTATATCGAGACCGACGATATTAAGAGAACGGTGTGCATCCTGCACTCGTCTGGCACCACGGGGATGCCGAAAGGAGTCGAGTTATCCAATTATGCTATGTTGTCGATGAACGAGGAGAACGCGATAGACCTGAATAATACGGTCGCACTCTGGTTCTCATCGCTTTATTGGGTCAGTGGAACGTTGCTTAACTCGAAAGCAATTAATCAAGGTGCCAAGATAATCATCTATCCGGAATTCGATGAAGAAATGACATGTATCTTAATCGATAAGTACAAGGTAAAGGCAACTTGAGAACTCATCGAGATCGGTCGTTAACGCAATAACGATCTGTTGCTAATCAGTGAATATTTATATAAACGTACTCATTTTACGCGTACTGCTACGCAAATCTTGTTATTTTTCACGTTACGTACTATAATCGCATGTTATTAACTTGACTCACTTTGATTGACACGCCGTTTCCTTGTCATACGAATTAAAATTTGCAAGTAAAATATTATTATGCATCGTCTTTGCGTGTTGGTAACTAATAGTATGTGACAAGCAATAATAGCGACTCGCATCAATTTTCTCGATGAACTTTGTCATATTTTTTATGACTTACACACTTATTAAGTAAATTATGTGATTTATCTTACTTCCGCTTCGTCACTGCGAGCAATTACAGCAAATTTGGCCGAAAATCCTGAAATAATCGGTTTTTATCGTTTTAGGTAACATGGCTTTTTATAAGCACAAGCATGACAAATCGGTTTCTTAAAGCTGGTCACGTGAAGAATTATTCCTTATCGTCTTTGAAAATAATCTTTTGTGGCGGTGCTATCCTCAAGATGGAGTCACAGAAGGAATTACAACGTGTTTTACCGCACGTTGAGGTTTTGCAGGCTTATGGTAAATACTTAATTCGATAAATGGAAAGACATAACATCGACTTCAAAACGATTTATTGCCGAAAAAGACGACTATCTCTCTCTTTCTCTCTCTCTCTCTCTCTCTCTTGATAGTTTATTTCACACTTTCAGGGATGACGGAAATGGGAGGAATAGTAACGTGTCAGATGCCGTACCATAAGTGCGGTTCTTGTGGAACGCCGACGCGAAATGTGCAAATAAAGATAATAGATCCGACTACTGGAAAAGCTGTCGGACCGAATGAAACGGGAGAGCTGTGGGCGAAATCGCCGAACATGATGAACGGTTATTATAAAAATCCCGAGGCAACCAACAGCACTGTTGATAAAGAAGGTAATGAAATTCTGCTCTTTGTATTCTTGTATTCTTGTATTATTTCTTATATTAACTTCTTGTGCTCAGATCATATAAGTTGACAAATGTTAGCAAGGCGAAAGAACTGTTAGTGTTAATTGATATGCAATAAATTGTTTTTCTCTATTTGTTGCAATAATTTGTAAATTACAAATTGTTTCTCTCTCTCTCTCTCTCTCTCTCTCTCTCTCTCTCTCTCTTTCTCTCTCACATGTACACATATACGTAGGATGTTCAAAGTAATTCGAATTTTTTTTCAGGATGGCTGCATTCGGGTGATCTCTGCTATTTCGACGAGGATGGCGAATTGTTTGTGATTGACAGATTGAAAGAGCTTATAAAGTATAGAGGACATCAGATCTCACCCGGAGAGATAGAAACTGTCCTAATGTCACATCCAGCAGTGTTAGAGGTCGCAGTGGTGGCAGTGCCTCATTCAACAGATGACGAACATCCTATAGCTTACGCCACCAGGAAGTCCGGTTTCAAGGTAGAATTCCTTAACGTACTCAGAGAATTAATTTTGAAGAATATAGAATTTGATAGAAATTGATAGAATACATAGACTCTCGTTATTCATGTTAACACGTATAAGACAAAGCGTGTTGTTCACAATAAACAAATTGCGTTTCTCGCAGATAACGGAGCAAGAACTGATCGAGTTTGTGGCAAATAATATGATGGATCACTTTAAACTACGTGCTGGCGTGGTGTTCTTGGATAATTTTCCTTACACAGGATCCGGCAAAATTGCGAGAAAAGAATTGAAGGCAATGGCTAAGAAACTAGAAATGAAGTAAAGTACTACGAAGTTATATTTATATTTCCAAAGCAATAGATATTTGTATGACTAGAGTGGGAACATAAGTGTTAATTTTATTTTTGGAAATTGATTTTTTATTTATATGTATATATACATTTATCGTTTTATTAACATTATTTTATTTTCTTAATTTTAATGTTTTAATATTAACAATAAGAAATCTAGAAGTGTTTCTCAGCGAGCTTTCGACTTGTATGAAAACTACCTTGAACTTGTATCTTGAACTTTAACTTTATTGTGTTGTACAGTAGCAGAAGCTAAGAGAAATATATTTTTTTATAATTGCCTTTGTTGAACAATATTATGCACCGCTTTTTGTTGCCAAAAGATTATTAACAGATTTAGACATTTTGGATTAGACATCTTCTTTTGAGAGAAGATCGCCCTACTGCATTATTCGCTTCTTTTAATTAATATCATAGTTGTTTAATAATTATCATAGTTGTTCAATAATTATCATAGTTGTTTACAAAGTGTTATGGGACTTTTTCGTTTAATTTGATAAATTCTATCTGCACATGAGCGGTCATATGATACTCTGTTTGTATTTCTACTTAACGTAAACAATTACACAATTTTATGGTTGTTTACTAGATGGTAAAAGAATTTTAGTTAAGTTTTTTTTACATACAACAGTCAGTAATTATCAAATATCCTGTATATATGTTTTTCGTGAGATCTATGAGAAAATATGTTTAAAACAGTTTGACAGTATTTAATGTATTTATTTGCTTATAATTAACGAGGAATATTTAGACCTCAGTTTGCAAGATATCAAAAGAGGGAGGGAGAAAGAGAGAGAGTGTGTGTGTGTGTGTGTGTGCATGCATGCGTGAGTGTAAAAGTGCATATGTTTTCAAAAAATTTACACTTTACAAATTTTTTTACCTAGATAGTTAACATGTTATATTTTATTATTTTTTATCGTCCTTAAGACAAAAAATGTTAAGAATTGACCAAAATATGTCTCCAATAATTGAAGAAAAGATAATCAAATACCTCTTTTATATTAACTAAAAGGAAAAAGATATTAAGATTTTTCTAAGAATATAAGTTAGTATCAATTTATGGGAAAAAGTAGGTTTATTTAATAGAAAGCGGAAGTAACAAAATATTACTAATCTAAGCTACATATACATAAGCTATACATTGAATATTGTATTATATTTGTAAAAATATTGTATACACATAATACAATTTTATTCTTGTTACTTTTGTTTGTATACTTTTTAAACTGAATTTGTACTGGTAAGTGTTAATTGTTAGTGAATTGTTGTAGAAGCATATATATATATATATATATATATATATATATATATATATATATATACATACAAGGTGTTGCATTTACATACAGGTCAGTACGACGGGTTGCCTCGTCGGCAGGCGCGCGTACCGTGTCATAATAGACGTTGGCGAAATTGTCACATGCATAATTGAACACAGTAAACTTCATAAGAAAAAAAGTATATATATATATATATATATACATACAAGGTGTCCCACAATTGGTAAAACCTCTTAGGGATAGGTAGGAAGTGCAATTTGGAACTGAAAGTTTTTCTTCTATTTTTGGATCCGATAATTAGTTAACGAGATATTAATTAATTAATTCTGGCAATCCCTTAGCGCCCTGAGTGAGCGCTCAGGGACTTTTGCAGTCTTGGCTATCTGGGTAGTTGATAAATATATAGAATAGACTAGTACTTTCATAACATGATAATTTTAATAACATGATAATTTGCATTATTTCAAGGAAATAGTTTGATGATTGTTTTATTACCTCGGAAAATATATTTTTCATAAACACGCGCACTCAGATAGCACAAAATATTCTATAAATATTTCTATTTTAATTCAAAAATATTTGAATTGAATATTCTATAAATATACATATAATGTTGTAGGCAAAAATACGTATATTTATAACAGAAGAAACATATGTCAAGTTTTTAATTATATTTTTAATTCGTGAATAATGATACATGAATACAAAGAGAAGTGGCAGCACCTTGCTCTGAAACTTCACAATTATGAAATCAGTTGATTAAATGGGGTTTGCTAAATATGTAAAATAGAATCGCACATTCCATTAGAATCAGTTTAATGATATGTTAATGATATGTTAAAATCAATTATAGGCATTATATATATGAAGATTAATATATATACGGTACTTTATTTTCTTTTCTTTTTTACGACTCTGACGTCGAAAATATAAACTTGTCATTTTTCTTAGATACAAAGTGTAATGTTGTGCACCTTCAAACGGATATATCACAGGTTGTAGTATTATTTATTACCTATATCATTAACTAGAGAAAGTTTTCTTTACCAGAAAAGTAAATTATATTCTGCCTGTGTTAACATTCTTAATATAGAATACGTAGAGTTGTTTCCAGTGGAGACGATTAGATCGGGCGGTTGCAAGAAACCATATATATCATTATGTAATCCGTAAGAGAAAACAAGGGATTTTTGGTGTTTGTTTCTGATATAATGCGCAGCACTTCCGCTAGTTGTATCTAAAAAGAAATTTCAAATTTAACTGTTCAATACTTCGCTACAATCTGCATGATTAAATACTGGGAAGTAATTCGAGTTAAGACTGTTAAACATTAAATACGACAATAAAATAATTCCCGATGTTAATGCTCCAAAATTATATGAAAGCATTCCTAAACAAGCCAGATAAATTTGGAATAAAATGCATTTTGAATATTTACTGGTCAACTTGAAGATATGTGGGATGCGAAAACGTTCTACACCATTAACATATATATGGTCTGTGTTTAACATCCCCTCGTCCACGATAGTTTTCTGAAAACATTAATACGATTAGGACACTGTAAAGTGATTAACTGAATTTGAGAATTGCGCCAACGAGTTCAAATATTATATGGTTAAATCATTTTTACTCGTTGGCTGAATATTTTTAATTCATGTACGAAGAAAAGTAGCAGTACATTTTTTTGAAACTTTACAATCGTGAAATAAATTAATTAAATAGGATTTGCTGAGTACATGAAAAGTAGAGTCACACTTTCTATAAGCATCGATTTAATGATATGATTATATGCGTCTGTCTCGAGGAGATAGAAATATTAGCGACGATTGTTCTGTTCTCTTGAAGAGAATACGTTTTCTAATACGTATTTGATAGTCAAAATAATAAATCTATAATCGTATGGTAACACATTAATCGCAGTGTATCCCACAGTGTCGACAAGTAGTCGAAATACATATTATTTAATAGTGGTATTACATATTATTTAATGATTGACAAAGTAAAAGGATTCCGTCAACGACGGAAACGAATACGAAAACTGGGAGATTTCGGACAACTTTGAACTTTCTACTAGAATATCTTCTCACATTAAACATATAGGACAAAAATAAAAATAATTTTGTTATGTAATTGGATTCTGGCCAAATCGATTAAGTCTACTTAAAACTCAGTCCGATTAGCCGTTGCAATAGTGATAATCTTGCCTTCGCTGAACTAGAAACGTCGCTTCGCTAATATTTTTCATTCATAAATAATGTACGAAGTAAAGTGACATACGCGTGGCAGTCTCATTCCTCGCTTTATGCGTTCATTTAGCGCGAGATGTCACTGCGTCTCTTGATAATAGTTCATTATTCTCTTACCATAACGATCTCGTTGGCCATACTATCCATTTCTTTATTGGGAGAATACATCACAGCATCCGATTCGGAATGGAATGAGAAGTATACACTGAATTCATTCTGGATAGATTCGATGTACTTGGATATGCTCGACGTTTCAATTTCAGAAAACGGTTCGATTCCGGGAAATCCGTTGGAGCATGGTTGGACAGAAGTGCCTCCAGCTAAGAATTGGAACAAATACGATAATGTTAAAAAATATTAGTTATTAATAAAAAATAATTGATAGAAATAAAATTGTTGCTGCGCGTTGAGGTTTCTTAAAATCAAACTTTGTACGCGATACAGTGCATCGCGTTCAATGGTACTCAAAGAAAATACATGAGAAGATTTAATTGAACTTGTCGCACGTGCATGGCGTCGCTAACGAGTATACGAAGTATACGAAGCAATTGTCAATTAACAAATCACATTCATAGTTCATCAGACATCACAGTACTCACTGTTCCATTCGTAATCCCAGTTTTTGTTGAGATTGGTACCAATGCACTGCTCGGTTCCTATTGAAAATTCATTGCTGACTGGCTTACGGTTCTTTACCCATAATCGATCCTGCAGGAAATTCGATTTGTACACATTTTCTACAATGTATAAATGATATCCGACGAAAATAGTGAATATTGACTTCACCCTGATCTCCCGAAAAATCGCTGTACATTAATGGGGCATACCACAATCATTATTATCAAATACTAATCACACATTAAAGAAAATGATTGCAAGATTATATTTGATGGTAAAGCCTGTGAAGGAATATGACAATTTTCACGCTATCTCAAAGAGATTACGCAACGATGGTGCTTTCTCGTTATTATCCTATGGACCATATCTTGTTTCTGGATTTGAAAGTCTCCAGCTAAAAGTGTAGTTTAACGTCTGCTTTACGAGATTGCTGTAGAACGTGCACTCACCGTCGTGTGCGTGTATACATATCCGTCCGGATTGAACACGGGGAAAATGTACCAATTGTAGTTCCGGACTTTATGTTTGATGTGATCGTTATTCAATAATTGGTGCGTTATGTACATGACAACGGCTGGCGTCATCCATTCCCTGGCGTTAGTGCCACCTTCGAGAAACACGCCGGGCGCCTTGTTCGGCTTGAAAGATACTTTCACGCCCTTGATCTGCCGTCCTTCGAATGTTGTGCCGGCCACTATAATCTTCACATTCTTAGGATACCTCTCAGCCAAGTCGTCCAGGTTTTGGTAGATCTCCTCGAGAGTATGATAACTTGTGAAGTCGAAGGAACTTGGCTGTTTTTCTCTTTCTTTTTCGTTACCTCCTTTTTCGAGATTATTGATTGCCTGGTCTCTTCTCGTTATCTTATTAATGAATTCTTGGATATCATTGGACTCATCTTCTTCCATTGTATTGTTAATCAACTTTTGGACATTATTGGTTAAATTCATGTATGTCATCATGCCTACTTTCATTCTCATCTTAAACATATCCTCACTTTCTGGAGATACCATAATTTCTGTGGGTGCAGTTAACTCGTCTGGTATTTTCCAATAGTCGTACTATGAACGGACGTCGCATTTTATTTATATTGCATACATTCATAATAAAAAGGAAGGAGTGCAATTTGGATCAATTTCTGCCTATTAAACGTAACTTTAATGAAATATAAATTTACATTATATGGGTTATCTAATATATAAAAATAATAATTATATCACTGATAGCCCATGGGAACATTTTGAAAATCGCTCTGTTATATAGCCAAGTGACTCGCTGATATGAGTTCTCTAATGATGTAACTAATCTTGTTTCTGGTTTACTTCCCATTCGGTATTACAAAAACTGTTACAAATACGATTCACTATTCTTTCTTTAGAGGATTTCATATGAATTTGGAAGATAATATGAAGCCAATTGCATACATAAGTCAGGAAGATAGAAATGAAGATTCTGCGTTGTTACCTCGTATACTTATGAACTGCAAATCTTCTATTCTCGATTAAGTCTGGGAATAGGAATAAATTATAATTGAAAAAGTCAGTAAATATGTTTTAGAAAAACTAATATATCAATGAAATAATATTATAATTGAAATCTTAATGATTAAAATACAAATAAGGACCCCACGGCGTCACTTGTGGATTTAATAACTCAAAATATTATCTACTCTCCATTATATCTGGTAGGAAAAATAACTAAATATTGAATAAATCTGTAAATATTTCAGAAACCTTTTATTTAATATAATCGAAGTATGTTATAATTTATAAATTATAAAATTATAATTAAAGTTATAATTTATAAAGTTATAATAAAGAAAGTTATAATTATTTAATGTAAATTTATGTTCCACTAAAGTTACTTTTAATAAGCAAAAATTGACCCAAATTGCACTCCCTCCTTTGTTGAAAAAGATCAAGTGTTGGGATTAATAAAATATCGAAGTTTCGAAATCCAGAAACATTGAAATTCCACCAAATATTGAAACTCCAGAACTCAGAAATGTTTTAGAATTCAAAAACATCAAAGTTCTAGGGCTTAAAAAGATCATGGTGTCACAATTATTCAAAACAATATTAACACAAAGTTAAAAATTATATTTTGTAAATAACGTTAAAAGCAATAGAATGTACCAGTAATAACAACTTTCGAAAGATTTTCCGCTTACAATAATATTTTCAATGAAGTCGTCTACTCACCTCGCGTGCTGAGTCATACTTATAAAAAATATTCAGATAATCTAGGTCCTGCTGTTTATGGGGTATAACAACGTACAATTTATAGTTTTCGTAAAAGATCTTCTCGCTGGCCGTCAAACCCACGAAAGCACATAGTAGTATCGCCTTCCACATGATAACTCTGTATACAATATGTTATTCTGTAATTTTATCTTGCACAATAAATTTTCATTAATTATTATCACTATGTAGAGTCACCTCGATTATCAAGAATAACTGTATTAACTGTGTTTTTTCAATAAATCCAACTTCCAAATCTCGTTGCGATCTCGTAGATATCAATATTTATCTTCAAATTAGTTTATGCGCTTCGGGAAATACACTGTTCGATTGCTATGGTTTAGTTCGACGGGATTTATAGTTGGTTTACCCTTTTGGCGAAACAGAACTTTAAATATCACCACTTAGTCCGCTGTATTTAATTGCGTTTTCTGTTAAATTTTTCGAAAAATAAATTCGTAAATTTTCTCGATGGAAATCTTTAGTTTGCACTTCAACATACGGTACTTGGCCGAATGGCAATTTAGACGTTGGATACACTTTGTTCTGTTCTTCACGGAGCGTATTGGAAGAATATGTTTTTCGATGAATCTCCTTTCGACTTTAAATACCATTTCTCCATTAACACAGTGCATTTAGAATAAGTGCAAGTTATCATGAGATTAAAGACACAAAAAAAAAGGGTTGTTATCTTATTCGGTTAATGAGTTATGGGACTCGTCACGAAAATGTCGATAATCGTATGCGTTGAGGCTACCTTAGGTCACTTATTCATTTTAGTGAGATTTAGGTATTATTTTTATGCAACACATAAGCTCCATAGTTGTTACGAGTAAAATGGTCGAAAGACCTACAATTAATATTATTAATTCGACATGATAATTTACAACATTACTCAATCTAATAGACTTGAATACTAACTAAATTTTGCAAAATATGGAATCTTTTATCTATCCGAAGAATATTTGCATCCTTATAGTTTTATTAGAGATTTAAAATGTCTCTGTTGAACATATAACCAATTGTTTACAATAATTAATTATTAATTATTCTTTGTACGTAATTTAATTAGATGAGTTAATATTATTATATTAATCATAGATAATACCACGATGTTTAACACGTCAACTTATTCTACATTATTCTCATAAGTATATCATTCACTTATAAATTTTTACGAATTTTACGAGAGCAAGTTACAAATCTTATAATTCTACTTAGGATTGGAGCATTAAAATAAAGCGTCATAATAAAGGATGACAATTTTTAAACGTTCTTTTGCATATGAAAACGTTTCGAATAAGTGTATTTATTTGAAAATCTGAAGCAGAAGACGTATTTTCAAAACATTTATATTTAGTGAATTTCATTCTACATAACATAAAATATATAATAAATATTAAATATTATATATTAAATATTGACACATATATAATTTTGATTATATCATATATAATTTTTTAAATATAATTTTGATACCCGGAGTATTTTTAAAAATAAACTTAAAAAATGTATAATCTCTTGAAATGCGATCTTTACAGCGAAGAATAAAGAAATAATGTTTGCAGGTAAAGACAAATCAACGGACATTTCATGTCGAGAACGTGGCTGTTAAATTTCCCGAAGATAAATTCATGAGTTTTTTTACAAAAATGACATAAACTCGCACTTATGATTTAATTATGATTATAATTTATGATACGTACAGGACAATTCAGATGTGAAATATCGCTCGTTCCGTCTCCATGAAGTGAATTTAAGGAATGTATACTCTGAGCAATCCTATTGCAGGTTTATATATACAGGATGTCCCATTTTAAATGACATATTAAAATATCTCTTGAAATATACACTTTAGAGAAAAATGTTTCAGGTAATATTTATGAGGTTCAAAGAAAGCCAGTAAATGACGTTATTAGGTTTTGAGTCTCAGGTTTATGTTGCGCCTAGTAGGGTGTTAGTAGAGGGTTAAATTATTTAAAAGAGGTCCCCATTTTTTTATACATTCTTGTAGCTTATCTCGAGAGTTTTTCCAAATACTATAACAAAGTATTCTTTCGTTAAATATTTGTCGAGATATGAGACTTGAAAGTTACAGTACCGCCAGCATTAGCATTATCCAAGTACCACGTGGCTCGATCGAATTTACATCTCTTTCGTGTATTTGTGTGTGTGTTACAGCGAAGATTAAGACCCTACGGTTCGTACATTTCTGTACTTTAAATGTACTTTCGTACATTTATTGACTCGGAACCTTCTCTGCTATGTGTACATGTATATATATGTATGTTGCAGATTAATAAAAATAACAAATTAGCTAAATTTCGGTGGTAGCATGTGTCTATGTTATTCTAATAACATTAAGAAATCTGTAACATATTAAGACACTGTAACATATTAAGACACATGAGAAGTAAAATTGGAAAAAGCGGAGCGAGAAGATCGATATACTATCAGAAAAACAGAAACGCTTAGTATGCTGTGTGATCACAGTCAGTGATATTAGCGGAAGGAATACTAAAATATATAGGGATGAAAGAGAAAGAGGTGGTTACATACAATGTCACAATTCATTTTCGATTACATATTTAGAGATATATTTTATTTTTTTTCTTTTTTATCTCCTAGACATTGAAAACACAAATTTGTTATTTTTCCTGGATACAAAGTGCATTATTGTGCATCTTCGAACCAAGATGTCACACGCGCGACATATCGAGTAAAAGAAAGTAGTATTATTTTAGTAATATTTGTTATAAAATAACAAATTATTTGTTTAAATAAAATTTTGCCCGCTCTAACATGTTTTTTAGACGACAAACAGCCTCCTGTCCATACCAAACGATTCGCCTGGGCGGTTGCAAGAAACCATCCTTATAACGTCTATCTTGTAATCCATAAGCAAAAACAAGAGGTTTGTTATACGTTCCCTTGATATAAGTTATGGAACTTCCATCATCTAAATCTAAAAGAAAAAGTTTCGCGTTTAATTGTTTTGATAATCTACTACCATATTTAGAATTAAAAACTCATATAGATGAGATATAGTATAGCAGAATGATTTGAGTTACAATCCTAAAGAATTAAATACGACAATAAAATAAGCTCCGCGATGTTTTGTTTAAAAATTATATAAAAAATTCCTAAGCAAGTCTCGAGTGAGTTATTTTGAATGCTTACCGCTTGTTTTGAAGACATTGTTGAATTCATAACTATATTCAGATATACTAAACGATAAGGCGATTCTCCTCTAAAATTAAAATTATTAATATTATTAAAAATTAAGACACTATAAAAATAATGAATTGCGCCAACGAAATCAAATATTATATGGCTACATCAATTAAACTCATTACGTATGACCGAATATTTCCAATTCATAAGTGATATACGAAAAGAAGCGACAATACATTATTTCGAATCTTCATCTTCGTAAAATCGAATAATTTATTATAATAAGATTTGCTAAATATATACCACAGAGTCGTACTCTCTATATGTATCGATTGAATGATATGATAATTTGCACTATCCAAAGGATACAGAGATATATAAGCATTGTTCTGTTCTTTAAAAGAAAATACATTTCTCTCTACTTTAACGCAATTTCGAAGAAGAACGCTTTAAATGTACAGCTTATTGTCGGGATCTCTTACCATATCTGAATCGTACTGCTCAGTGTTATTCGTGAAGTCGGGAGGATACGTTATGTCATTTGATTGGGAGTGGAATGAAAAATATGCAAAGAATTTATCCTTGATAGATTCGATGTATTCGGACATGCTCTTCGTTTCAATTTCAGAGAATGGTTTAGGTCCGGCAAACATGTTGCATTTGGCAAAAAACAGATGACCTGACAGAACAAGATGTGATAAAAAAATGATACATATTAATAAAAAATAAATAATGCAAATAAAGTCAAATAAAGACGATGCCACATTATCATAAGATCAATTTTTCTACGCAATAGACTGCATCGTGTTTAATGGTATTAAAAAAAAGTGCATGAGAAGATTATTTGAGCTTATCGTACGTGCGTGACATCGCTAATGAGCATGCGGAGTAATTACCAATTAATAATTCACATTCATGAGACACATCATAGCACTTACCGTCCCACATGTAACCCCAGTTCTTGTTGGGATTACTACCAATGGTATTATTGTACGGCTTACGAGTCTTTGTCCACATTCGATCCTGGAGAAAAATCAATTTGTACAAATTCTTTTCAATGTATAAATGATATCTCCGACGGAAATGACGAATATTAACTTTATCCATATTTCCCGAGAAACCGACGTTGTCCATTAATTGGGCTCGTCACGATCATTATTACCAGATCACACATTAAAGACAATAGTTGCAAGATTAAGTTTAGTGATAAAATGTATAAAGAAATGTGACAACTTTCACACTATCTCAAAGAGATGGTGTGCTTACGTGATGATGGTGTTTCCTCGTTATTATCTCGGAAAATATGCTTTTTTTTTGGATTTGAAAGTTTTCAGCTAAAAGTGTAGTTTAACGTCTGCTTTACAAGATTACTATAAAGCGTGCACTCACTGTGGTGTGCGTGTACACATATCCATCCGGATTGAACACGGGAAAGATATACCAGTCGTAGCTTTCAGCCATATTTCTGATTTGAAAATCGTTGCTACTTAGTAATTGATGTGTAATATACATAACGACGGCCGGCGACATCCATTCCCTGGCATTAATGCCACCTTCGAGGAACACGCCGGGGTTGTTCGGCTCGAAGGATATCTTCACGCCCTTAATTTGCCGTCCTTCATATGTCGAGCCGCCCGCTATGATCTTCACATTCTCAGGATACCTCTCAGCCAAGTAGTCCAAGTTTTTGTAGATTTCCTCGAGGGTATGATAACTTGTAAAGTCGAAAGAACTTGACTGGCCTTCTTCCATTGTCAAGTTAATTAATCTTTGAACATTGTCTTCTTTTAACTCGATGTCAAGTGAGCCCATTATTATTTTAAACCACTTCGTTTCGTCCGGAGATACCATAATATATATCTGCCCACCAATTCTGATTGGCATATTCCATAGGTCGAACTACGAACAGTCATTTTATTTATTTCGCATACATTTATAAAGAAAATACGGTTGGAAAAAACAAGTATCGGATTTAATAAAATATCGAAATATTAGATGCCAGACACATCGAAGTTCTAAGGTTTAAATATTTTCAAGAATTTAAACTCAGAAATGTTGATGTTTCATGATTCAAATGCATCAAAGTTTCAGGAATCAAATAAATTGTGATATTGAAATTGTTCAGAACGATATCGATGAAAAATTAAAAATTATATATTGTAAAAAACCATTAAAAGCAATAGAATGTACAAGCAGTTATGCCTTACTAACAATTTTCTGTTTATAATGAAATTTACAATCAAGATGGTCACTCACCGAAGTTGATGTGGAACGTCGATAATAGAATTCCAACAATTTTAATTGCTCATCTGTTTCCGGTATAACACGAAACAACTTATAGTTCTCGTAGCTGACTAACTTGCCGGCCGTTATACCAACGAAAACGCATAATAGTATCACCTTCCACATTGTAACTGTGTGCAAACGTATTGTATGTTATCTTTCGATCTTAACTCGTGAATTAATTTTCATTAATTTTTTATTACGTAGCATCGTCTTTATTATCATAAATGTTTTAAGCGATTCAAATTCAGATAGATATTGATTGATCCTATAATTCCAATAAATTTAGTTACCGAATCTCGGCGATAGATAAATCGGTATAAATCTTCAAATTATTTTGCTCTGTTATGCTTCGACAGATACACCGTTCAGTTTCACGAGAGATTATTTTTAGGATACCTTTTCCCGGAGTGTAATAGAAACATTCTAAATACCATCACTGTTTCTTCTAATGTATTTTATTTTGTGCCAAGAATCTGGCTGTTAAGTTTCCCAAAGTTGTACTAGTGAAATTTCTCAAAATTTTTAGTTTACATTTAAATTTACGGTACTTACTTGAAAGATAATTTAGACGCTAACTGTTATACGAAGTGTAGTAGAAGAATGTTCCGAAGGAGCACTTTTCGGCTTTATATATACCCTGTTTTCCTATCGTTAATATACTGGTCACATAGACAAGCTAAAGTGCTGATAACCCTTCAAATGTATTGTGTTATGCCTTGTGTTAACCTTGCAATGGAAAGGTTGACAGTCGTATGCATAATAACGGCTTCACAACCGTCGCTTATTTTAGTAAGATTCAAGTCTTACTTTGATGTAACATATCATAGCTACCATGTATAAAAGTTCCCGAAGGAATCAGAAATAATTTTGTTAATGATATAAGACAATTTGTAACACAATCTAATTGACTATAATGAGAAGAAAATGTTAAGGAGCATAAAGAGGGGATAGGAATGTCGAAAGAACATGCGCATATTTATACAGAAATTAATATAATAAAATTTATTAATTAGAAATTCGTATGTAGAAGATCAATGTTTTATCAAATAAAAATATATCATCATATAGCAAAGCAACACAACTCGAAGAATGTAATTTTTTAGGACATACGAAGAATATTAAGAGAGAGATCTCAATAAAATCAATTGCATAGAATTATATCATTAACTGCAGATTAATATATTACTTTGTTTTCTATACTTTTTTCCTGTAGCCTTAAGTATTGGAAATACGTGGAGATAATCGTGTCTTTTGTTGCCACTACGAAGTGTTATCTTGCGCATCTTTTCACGAGGTTAATTCAAAATCAAATATTTACGAGCTGTATCATTTTCTTATGTGACGCGCGAAATGTCGATAGTATTATTTATTATCGATTAATCGTAAGTCTTAAACTTTATCGAGAATATCACTTCCTTTAGCAGGGACACGATAGAGTCCAGGCTCTCTTTTCCAGTCGGAGTGATTTATTCGGGCGGTAGCGAAAAGCCGTATTTATCTTGATCGCATAATTCGTAGACGAAGCGTTTGTAATAAGCGCTTGCACTCTTGACATAATCTACGGAATTTCCTAATACGTAATCTGTAGAGAGTAGATCTCACGCTACTCTAGCGACGACTCTTATTAATCTTCTTTCTTACTAATTGTTTTCTTTCAGAGTCTATACCAGTCATCTTTATTGACAACATATTAAATTAGCAGCGTTATATATAAATACGATAGTATATTATTTCAGATCTACACCGTGCCAAGAAGTCGGATGATTCATCAGATAAAGATTAATTGAATTCTATAGCAAACAAAAGCACATTTCTCATACGAGTTTTGACTAGCAATCGATTTCATAGCATAATAATTTACATTATCTCGAGGAGATAATGAAGATATCAATGATTTTTTTATTATCTTGAAAAATATATTTCTTCTTCGAAATTGTTGCATTCTGAAGAAGAAAACGTCGACCACATATCTTATTTTCGGGATCACTTATCAGTTCGTCATAATTCTCCAAATGGTCTTTGGTGTGTCCGTAAGGGAACATTAGGAGCAGAGAGTAACTGTGGAATGACATATATATAGAAAAATTGCCGTTGATTGATTCGATGTAGTCGGACACGCACTTTATTTTGACGTCGAAGAATGTTGCGTTTCCAGTGTATGTGTCGCTAAACGGATTAAAAATGTCTGCGCCTGAAAACTGAATCAAAACACAATAATGTTAACAAATATCGAATATTAATAAAAATTAATTAGTAGGAATGCAAATATAAAACTGACATTGCGTGGCACAATCTCTTAAAAACAAACTTCCTGCGCGTCACAGCATATAGATGTTGATGCTATTCGAAGCAAATAAATGAGAAGATTTAATCGAGCATGTATCACGCGTGCGCGTCATCGTTAGCGAACATGCTGAGTAATTATTAATTAATAACTCACATTTTCATAGCTTATTGGGCACTATGATATTTATCGTGCAACTTGTAGCTCCAGTTCCTGTTCGGATCGCTACCACGATTGAGTAAACCGTACGTCTTCCTCCACATTCGATTCTGTGAAAAATTGTTCACACAGGATCGTTCACATAGGCTTGTTTTAATATTTATCACTTGGAACTTATCTTATGTGAGATTTTCAAATTTCTACTCTGAATGTGAGTTAGATTCAAGTTTTTCAGTCAAATTACGATATACCTGACATTTATATGTGTAATCGCGATTCAGTTGAAAAAGCTTTCATCTAATTCTGAGTATCTTAGTTATGAAACGAGTTTCAAATAATAACTATTAATCACATACTTTATACTATATGTTACAACTAATTTCCGATGAAGATCGTGAATATTGTTTTTATCTCGACTTTCACGAGAAGGGTCGATAAAATGTCTATTAATCGCGAAAACATGAATTTTCACCAAGTATGAATCGCGCATAAGCACACCAATTAAGAAGTACAACGTTACATTGTTCAACATAAGAAATTTTGATGTCGTGGAATGTGATAATTTACGCTATCTCTAAGAAACCATAACGCAACGACGATGCTTTCCTATTATATCAAAGAGCATTCCTTTCTTCTAAATTTATAAATCTTTAGCTAGAAGCGTAGTAAAAGGACTGTATTCTAGAATTATCGAAGTGCATTCATCGTGGTACGCGTGTACACGTATCCGTCCAGATTGAACGAGAGAAATGTACCAGTCGTAGTTCTCGGCTACATCTCTGATATTCAGATCTACGAATAGTGCGTACATTTTTTCCTATTTTTTCTCCTTTGTCCCTTTGAATCGCGTGGTTCATAATAAATATATTGTCCATAGTTCCTCTTTCCTTTTTAAAACCTGCCTGATTTTCTGGTAATAAATCTTTTTGTTTTATCTTTTCTTCTAAACTTTTTCTTAACACCTCTACATAAATTTTATATTTCGTACATAATAATGATATTACCCTGTAATTTTTCCATCTTTTCTTTATCTCTTTTGTTATAAATTGGAACTACCACACCTTTTCTCCAGTCTTTAGATATCTCTCCTTCCCTCCATATTTGCTTTATTAATTCTATTAATCCATCTCTTATAAGATCTTGTAAGACCTCCGTATCCCCATTCTTCTATCTGGATTTAATCTACTCCCGCCGCTTTTCCTTTCTTCGTTCTCTTCACTGCTTGGTATATTTTATCTTCCTCCAAGTCTGCCTTATCTCTCCCTGTTTTTCTTTTCTCTTAACTTTTCTTCTTGTCTTCTCCCATTACCCTTTTCTTTTCCTTTCAACAAATACTGAAAGTGATATTTCCATTCTTCTTTGCTTATGTTATTTACATTATCCTCTCTTTGGTTTTTTCTTTTATTTATATATTTCCACGCTTCTGCTTTATTCCTTAGGCTTCTCAATTTTCCTCTTCTTCCTTCTATATTTCTTTTTTTTTCTAACAGCTCCCTCCATTTCTTCCTTTCCTCTATATATCTTTCTCTGTTTGATTTTCCTTCCCTCCTTTTTATAAATATTCTCTTCATCCTCCTCTTTCCTCTTGTCACCACTTTGCATCCCACTAATCTCTGTATTCTAACTCCTTCTTTCCTATTTTATTATCCTTTTTTTTTTAGCGCTCCATTTATTATCTCTTTTCCCATTTCTCTGCTAATATTTTGATTTCTGGTCCCTTATTCTAACTAGTCCTATTATTTATATTCTTCTTGTATTCTCCCTTTGCCTCTCTGTCTTAGCAAATCGTTGTTCTCCTTTTCTTGTGCTTCTCTTCTTTCTTTTCTAGGCATATAATCCCAATCCATTTTCTTTTCTATTCTAAATTCTTTAACAATTTCATTAAAAATTCGTTTACAATAATACAATCTATTACCGTTCTACTACCTCTAGAACTTATATAACGTAAATTCCCCTTCTTCATCTCCTTTCCTTGCCCAGAACTCGTTCACCTATACTACTCTCTTAGGAAATCTCAAATAAGTTTTGCTGATATTCACAAGATTTCGCCGAGAGTCTCGTCAAAAGTCAAGTCACTCTTGACAGAATTTTTTTTAGCATAAAGTTGCAAAATATTTCTTGTATACATATATAATTTCGATTATATCATACATAATTTCTTACATATAATTTTAATATCCCAAGTATTATTTAAAAATAAACTTAAAAAATATTATAATCATTTGAAATGCGATCTTTACAGAGAAGAATAAAGAAATAATGTTTGCAGGTAAAGACAAATCAACGGACATTTCATGTCGAGAACGTGGCTGTTAAATTTCCCGAAGATAAATTCATGAGTTTTTTTACAAAAGAACATAAACTCGCATTTAGTTTAGATACGTACAGGACAATTCAGATGTGGAATATCGCTCGTACCGACTCCATAAAATGAAGTTAAGGAATGTGTACTCTGAGCAACCCTAATGTTATATATACAAAGTGTCCCATTTTAAAAGACAAATTAAAATATCCTTTGAAATATATATTTTAGAGAAAAATGTTTCAGGTAAAAGTTATAAAGTTCAAAGAAGGCCAGTAAATGACGTTATTAGGTTTTGGATCTCAGGCTTATGTTGCGCCTAGTAGGGTGTTAGTTAAATTATTTAAAAAGGGTCACCATTTTTTTATACATTCTTATCTCGAGAGTTTTTCCAAATTATAACAAAGTATTCTTTCGTGTCGATTTGTCAAGATATGAGACGTGAAAGTTACTGTATCGCCAACATTAGCATTATTCAAGATGTACCACGTGGATGTTGTACGATCGGATTTACATCTCTTTCGTGTATGTGTGTGTGTGTGTGTGTTACAGCAGAGATTAGGACCCCACGGTTCGTCACTCTCGTAGTATTTATTAACTCGGAACCTTCTCTGTTATGTGTACATGTATATATGTGTATGTTGCAGATTAATGAAAATAACAAATTAGCTAAATAGTGCTGTCGTAGCATGTGTCTATGTTTTTCTAATAACATTAAGAAATCTGCAACATATTAAAACACTACATAAAAATTGGAGAGAGTAGAGCGAGGAGATCGATATACTACCAGAAAAACAGAAACATTTAATATGTCTGTGTGATTATAGTCAGTGATTTTGGCGGACGAAATACTAAAATATATAGGGATGAAAGAGAAAGAGGTGATTACATAAAACACCACAATTCATTTTCGAGATCCAATAGATTTATTTGTAAGTAGGTAACAAAGAAGTATTAGTAAACATATAATCAGTTATATTATATATTTAGATATAATATTTTTTTTCCTTTTTACCTTTTTACCTCCTAGACACTGAAAACTTGTTATTTTTCCTAGATACAAAGTGCGATATTGTGCATCTTCGAATCAAGATGTTACATGCGCGGCATATCGAGTAAAAGAAAGTATTATTTAATATTTATTATTGAATAAAATAAGGTTTGCCTGCTTTAATATGTTTTGTAGAGCATAGACCGCCTCCTCTCCAAACCAAACGATACGCTCGGGCGATTGCAAGAAGCCATCTCTAGAAAATTTATCTAGTAATCCGTAAGACAAAACAAGAGATTTGTTATATCTTTCCTTGATATAAGTTATGGTACTTCCTCTATCAAATTCTAAAAAGAAGAATTTCGTGTTTAATTGTTTCGATAGTCCACTACAATGTTCAGAATTAAAGGCTTAGTTATATAGATGAGATATAGTATAGCAGAATGATTCGAGTTACAACTCTAAAGAATTAAATACGACAATAAAATAACCTCCGCGATGTTATTGTTTAAGAATTATACAAAAAAGTTCCTAAGCAAGATAGATAAGTCAGGAGTGAAAGGTACTTTGAATGTTTACCGTTTGCTTTGACGACATTATTTTGTTCTAGTGACATCAAATAGCGATTTCCTATTATACTTTGATGAGGTACAATAAACGGTGTTTTGGCGATTTTTATCTAAAATCATTAATATTATTAAAAATTGGAGCACTATAAAAATAACGAATTGTGCCGAGTTCAAATATTATATGGTTAAATCAATTAAACTCATTGTGACTAAAATATTTCTAATTCATAAGTGATATACGAAAAGAGGCGACAATACACTATTTCTAATCTTTATCATTGTAAAATCGGATGATTTATTACATAAGATTTGCTAAATATGTAGCATAGTGTCGCACTCCTTATATGTATCGATTTAATGATACGATAATTTGCATTATCCAAAGGATATAGAGATATTTTAGCGATGGTTGTGCTGTTTTTTAAAGAAAATATATTTCTCTCGAATTTAACGCAATTCCGAAGAAGAACGCGTTAAACATATAGCTTATTGTCGGGAATTCTTACCATATTTGAATCGGACTCTGTTAATTTCATAGTATTATACGTGATTACGTCAGGAGGATACGTCACGTCAGACGAGTGGGAGTGGAATGATAAGTACGCGAAGAATTTGTCCTTGATAGATTCGATGTATTCGGACATGCTCTTTGTTTCAACTTCAGAAAATGGTTTGGGTCCGCCATACATGTTGGTCTGGCTATAAAACGACGGATCTGACAAAACAAGATATGGTAAAAAATGATACATATTAATAAAAAATAAATAACGGGAATGAAATCAAATAAAGACGATACCACGCGTTCATAAGATCAATCTTTCTACGCAATAGAGTGCATCGTGTTTAATGGTATTTAAAAAAAATGCATGCGAAGATTATTTGAGCTTATCGTGCGTGCATGAGCTCATCGCTAATGAGCATGCGGAGTAATTACCAATTAATAATTCATATTCATAAGACATATCATAGCACTTACAGGATCCAAGGTAACCCCAGTTTCTATTGGGATTACAACCAATGGTGTTAATATCGGTGTTAATATCGGTGTACGGCTTAAGGGTCTTTGTCCACATTCGATCCTGCAGGAAATTTAATTTGTACAAATTTTTTTCAATATATAAATGATATCTCCGACGAAAATGGCGAATATTGACCTTATCCCAATTTCCCGAGAAATCGACGTTGTCCACTAATTGGGCACGTCACAATCATTATTATCAGATCACACATTAAAGACAATGGTTGCAAGATTATGTTTAATGGTAAAATGTAAAGGAATGTGATAACTTCTACACTATCTCAAAGAGATTACAATGCTACGATGGCGCTTTCTCGTTATTATCTCGGGAAAACTCTTTTTTTCTGGATTTGAAAATCTTTAGCTAAAAGTGTAGTTTAACGCTTGCTTTACAAGATTACTATAAAGCGTGCACTCACTGTCGTGTGCGTGTACACATATCCATCCGGATTGAACACGGGAAAGATATACCAGTCGTAGCTTTCAGCCATATTTCTGATCTTACTATCGTGGCTAGACAGTAATTGGTGAATTATATACATAACGACGGCCGGCGACATCCATTCCCTGGCATTAATGCCACCTTCGAGGAACACGCCGGGATTGTTCGGCTTGAAGGATATCTTCACGCCCTTGATCTGCCGTCCTTCGTATGTCGAGCCGCCTACTATGATCTCCACATTCTCAGGATACATCTCAGTCAGGTCGTCCAGGTTTTTGTAGATCTTCTCGAGGGTATGATAATTGGTAAAATCGAAGAAACTTAACTGGCCTTTTTTTGTTGTCAAGTTAATTAATCTTTGGACATCGTCTTCTAAGATGAAAAAGTGCATTTTAACTGAATTCATTACTTCTTCAAACCTCTTCACATTGTCCGGAGATACCATAACATTTAAATATGCATCCATTTCGTTCGATATATTCCATATGTCACACTACGAACAGACGTCACATTTTATTTATTTCGCATATATTTATAAAGAAAATACAAGTTGGAGAAAACAAGGTATCGGATTTAATAAAATATCGAAGTATTAGATGCCAGAAACATCGAAGTTCTATAATTTAAATATGTTCAAGATTTTGAACTCAGAAATGTTGATGTTTCAGGATTCAAAAGCATTAAAGTTTTAGAAGTCGAATAAATTGAGATATTGAAATTGTTCAGAACGATATTGATAAAAAATTAAAAATCATATATTGTAAAAAACCGTTAAAAGCAATAGAATGTACAAGCAGTTATGCCTTACCAAAAATTTTCTATTTATAATGATATTTGCAATCAAGATCACTTACATTATCTGTTGAGGAAAATTTATATAAGCTCTGTATCAGCAATTTTTGGCTAAATGTTGTCGGAATAACACGAAACAACTTATAGTTCTCGTAGCTGGCTAACTTGCCGGCCGTTATACCAACGAAAACGCATAATAGTATCACCTTCCACATTGTAACTGTGTGCAAACATATTGTATGTTATTCTTCGATCTTAACTCGTGAATATAATTTTCATTAATTTTTTATTACGTAGCATCGTCTTTATTATCATAAATGTTTCAAGCGATTCAAATTCAGGTAGATATTGATTGATCCTATAATTTCAATAAATTTAGTTACCGAATCTCGACGATAGATAAATCGGTATAAATCTTCAAATTATTTTGCTCTGTTATGCTTCGACAGATACACCGTTCAGTTTCACGAAAGATTATTTTTAGGATAGTGTAATTTCGTGGAGTGTAATAGAAACACTCTAAATACCATCACTGTTTTTTCTAATGTATTTTATTTTGTGCCAAGAATTTGGCTGTTAAATTTCCCTAAGTTAAACTCGTGAAATTTCTCAAAATCTGCAGTTTACACTTAAATTTACGATACTTACTCGAAGGGTAAGACGCCAAATGTATTGCTTACACGGAGTGTAGTGAAAGAATGTATGTTCCGAGGGAGCACTTTTTGGTTTTATATACGTGCTGCTTATCTGTCGTCACAATATACTGACAACCTAAAGTGCTGATAATTCTTCAAAGGTATTGTGTTATAAATACTTGCAAGGGAAAGGCTGACAGTCGTATGCATTATAACGGCTTTACAATCGTCGCTTATTTTAGTAAGATTCAAGTCTTATTTTGGTGTGACATACCTACCATAGCTACCATGTATAAAAATTCCCAAAGGACTCACAATTAATTTTGTTAATGGTATAAGACAATTTGTAACACAATCTAATTGACTGTAATAAGAAGAAAGTGCTAAGAAACATCCAGAGGGGATAAGAATGTTGAAAGAACATGTGCATAGTTATGCAAAAATCCTAGTTGCTTATGTTATTTATCCTCTCTTTTGCTTCTTATTTTATTTATATATTTCCACGTTTCTGCTTTATTTCTTAGGCTTCTCATTTCCTTTTCCTCTTCTTCCTACTGCATTTCTTTTCTAACAGCTCCCTCCATTTCTTACTTTCCCCTATATATCTTTCCTTATTTGACTTTCCTTTCCTCCATTTTATAAGTATCCTCTTCATCTTTCTTTTTCCTCTTGTACTCTTTCCTCTTGTACACTTTCCATCCCACTAATCTCTGTATCCTAACTCCTTCTTTCTTATTTTAATATCCTTACTTATTAGCCCAAGGTATCATTCCTTTTAGTTATTCCCATTTCTCTTCCATTATTCTGATTTCTGCTCCATCATTCCAACTAGTCCTATTTATATTGTTCTTGTATACTTTCCTTGTCTCAACGTCTCAGCAAATCGTTATTCTCCTTTCCTTGTGCTTCTCTTCTTTTTTTTCTAGGTATATGATCCCAATCCATTTTCTTTTCTATTCTAAATTCTTTAACAATTTCATTAAAAATTCGTTTGCAATAACATAATCTAAAACCGTACTATCTAGTACCTTATGCAATTACCTACGTTATTAATTATGTATTTACCTTATATATGTAAATTTCCCTTCTTCATCCCCTTTCCTTGCTCATTCATCTATACTACTCTCTTAATAAATCTCAAGGAAATTTTGCTGATATTCATAAGATTTCGTCAAGAGTCATCGAACTCGTCGAGAGTCAAGTGGCTCTTAACAGAATTTCTCTTAGCATAAAGTTGCGAAATATTTATTATATACATATATAATTTTGATTATATCATATAATTTCTTACATATAATTTCGATAGCCGGAAAATATATAATTATATATAGGAAGTATTCTTTAAAAATGAACTTAAACAATATTATTATCTCTTAAAATGTGATCTTTACAGAAAAGAATAAAGAAATAACGTTTGCAGGTAAATCGACGAACGTTTCGTGTCGAGAACGTGACTGGTAAATTCCGCGAAGATAAATTCGCGAGTTTTTTTACAAAAATGATATAAATTCGCGCGTAGTTTACGATATAATTCAATACAGGACAATTCAGATAGAATATCGCTCGTCTCCATAAAGTGAATTTAAAGAATGTGTACTTTGAGCAATCCTATTGCGGGTTTATATATACAGGGTGTCCCATTTTAAATGACAAATTAAAATATTTTGTGAAATATATATTTTAGAGAAAAATGTTACAGGTCAAAGTTATAAGGTTCAAAGAAGGTCAGTAAATGACATTATTAGATTTTAGGTCTTAAGCCTATGTTACGCTTAGTTGGTTCTTAGTTAAATTATTTAAAAGGGGTTTTCATTTTTTTTATGCATTCTTGTAGCTTATCTCGAGAGTTTTCCAAAACACTATAACAAAGTATTTTTTCGTTAAATATTTGAGATATGAGACTTGAAAGTTACAATACCGCCAACATTAACATTATTCAAAATATACCACGTGGATGTAGCTCGATCGGATTTACATCTCTTTCGTGTATGTGTATTACAGCAGAGATTAGGACCCCACGGTTCGTCACTCTCGTAATATTTATTGACTCCAAGCTTTCTCTGCTATGTGTACATGTGTATATATGTATGTTGCAGATTAATGAAAATAACAAATTAGCTAAATGGTACAGTCGTATCATGTATCTATGTTATTCTAATAATATTAAGAAATCTGCAGCATATTAAGACACTACATGAGAAGTAAAATTGGAGAAGGCAGAACGAGAAGATCGATATACTACTAGAAAAACAGAAACGTTTAATATATCTGTGTGATCACAGTCACTGATATTGGCCGAAGGAATACTAAAATATATAGGAATGAAAGAGAAAGAGGTGAATACATAAAACACCACAATTCATTTTCGAGAGCTAATAGATTTATTGGTAAGTAGGTAACAAAGAAGTACTAATAAAAATATAATCAATTACGGGCATTACATATTTGGAGATATGATATTTTATTTTTTTTTTTGCTTTTTACCTCCTAGACATTGAAAACACAAACTTGTTATTTTTCCTGGATACAAAGTGCAATATTGTGTATCTTTGAACCAAGATGTCACATGCGCGACATATCGAATAAGAAAGTAGTATTATTTTAGTAATATTTATCATAGGAATAATATTTTGTGTTTTCTAATATGTTTTCTAGATCATAAAGAGCAATCTTACTATGCTTAACAATTAGCTTAGGCGATTGTAAGAAGCCATTGAGAGAATATATATCTTGTAATCCATAAGCCAAAACAAGAGGTTTGTTATATGTTCCCTTGACATAAGTTATGGAACTTCCACGATCTAAATCTAAAAAGAAAAGTTTCACGTTTAATTTTTTCAATAGAACACTACTAGGTTCAGAATTAAAGATTTAAATATATAGATAAGATATAGTACAGCAGAATGATTTGAATAACAACTATAAAGAAATAAATACGATAATAAAATAAACTCCGCGATTCTATTGTTTAAGAATTATATAAAAAAGTTCCTAAGCAAGATAGATATGTTTGGAATGATAGATATTTTGAATGCTTACCAATTGTTTTGAAGACATTCTTGAATCCATATTCATGAAATATAAACTTGGTGATGCTCTTCTAAAATTAAAATTATTAATATTATTAAAAATTAAGACACTATAAAAATGATGAATTGCGCCCACGAGTTCAAATATTATATGGCTACATCAATTAAACTCATTACGTATGACCGAATATTTCCAATTCATAAGTGATATACGAAAAGAAGCGACAATACATTATTTCGAATCTTCATAAAATCGAATAATTTATTATAATAAGATTTGCTAAATATATACCACAGAGTCGTACTCTCTATATGCATCGATTGAATGATATGATAATTTGCACTATCCAAAGGATACAGAGATATATAAGCATTGTTCTGTTCTTTAAAAGAAAATACATTTCTCTCTACTTTAACGCAATTTCGAAGAAGAACGCTTTAAATGTACAGCTTATTGTCGGGATCTCTTACCATATCTGAATCGTACTGCTTAGTGTTATTCGTGAAGTCGTCGGGAGGATACGTCAAGTCAGGCGAGTGGGAGTGGAATGAAAAGTACGCGAAGAATTTGTCCTTGATAGATTCGATGTATTCGGACATGCTCTTCGTTTCAACTTCAGAGAATGGTTCGGGTCCGGCGAACATGTTGGATTTGGAACCAAATATATTACCTGACAGATCAAGATGCGGTATAAAAATGATGCACATTAATGAAAAATAAATAACGGGAATGTAATCAAATAAAAGCGATGCCGCACCACACTTTCATAAAATTAATCCTTCTACGCGATAAAGTGCATTGTGTTTAATGATATTAAAAAAAGTGCATGAGAAGATTATTTGAGCTTATTCTACGTGCGTGACATCGCTAATGAGTATGCGCAATAATTACCAATTAATTATTCATATTCATGAGTCACATCATAGCACTTACCGTTCCACTTGTAATCCCAGTTCTTGTTAGGGTTACTACCAATGGTATTATTGTACGGCTTACGAGTCTTTGTCCACATTCGATCCTGGAGAAAAATCAATTTGTACAAATTCTTTTCAATGTATAAATAATATCTCCGACGGAAATGACGAATATTAACTTTATCCATATTTCCCGAGAATTCGACGTTAATTAGACTCGTCACAATCATTATTATCAGATCACACATTAAAGACAATAGTTGCAAGATTAAGTTTAATAGTAAAATATGTAAAGAAATGTGACAACTTTCACAGTATCTCAAGTGATTACAATTCGACGATGGTGCTTTTTTATTATTATTTTAGGAACCATTCTTTTAGATTTAAAAGTCTTCAACCAAAAGTGTAGTTTGAACATCTACTTTATGAGATTACTATAGAGCGTGCACTCACTGTAGTGTGTGTGTACACATATCCATCCGGATTGAACACGGGAAAGATATACCAGTCGTAGCTTTCAGCAGTATTTCTGGTATGAGTATCGTTGCTACTCAGTAATTGATGTATAATATACATGACGACGGCCGGCGCCATCCATTCCCTGGCGTTAATGCCACCTTCGAGGAACACGCCGGGGTTGTTCGGCTTGAAGGATATCTTCACACCCTTGATTTGTCGTCCTTCGTATGTTGAACCGCCCACTATGATCTTTACATTCTCAGGATACATCTCAGCCAGGTCGTCCAGGTTTTTGTAGATCTCCTCGAGGGTATGGTAATTGGTAAAGTCGAAGGAACTTGACTGGCCTTTTTTTGTTGTCAAATTAATTAACGTTTGGACATAGTCTTCCAAGGATATGAAATTCAGGTTAACATAGGTCATTCTCATTTTAAAATCCTCTACAAAGTCCGTATGTACCATAATATTTACACATGCATGCTCTCTATTCGGCACATTCCATAGGTCGTACTAAGAACAAACGTTACATTTTATTTACTTCGCATATATTTATAAAGGAAATATAAATTGGAAAAATAAGTATCGAATTTCATAAAATATCGAAATATTAAATGCCAGAAATATCGAAGTTCTTGGGTTTAAATATTTGCAAGATTTTGAACTCAGAAATGTTCAGGGTTGAGATGATGTTTCAGGGTTTAAAAGCATCGAAGTTTCAGGGGTTGAATAAATTGAGATATTGAAATAGTTCAGAACGTTGTCGATAAAAAAATTAAAAATCATACTACTGTGATTAAAAAATATTCGAACTTTATTTTTAAAAATCAAAATAACAAATCAATCATCAAAATTCTTATAGTCTCCTTGAAAGTAGTCCCTATTATTTGCAACGCACATATGCCAGCGTTTGATCCAGTCCTGGAAACATCGCTTATACGCGGTAAACAGTATAGCCTTCAGTTCACGCAGCTATTTTTCTTTGATGTCCTGAATCGATTCAAAACGCTGTCTGCGAAGTGGTTTTTTCAATAGGGGAAACAGGAAAAGTCGCAGAGGGCCATGTCTGGTGAATACGGTGCTTGCGGAGCGACATTCGTTGAGTTTTTTGTTAGAAATTCACGCACAAGTGTCGAGGCATACGATGTGCGTTGTCGTGATGCCACGAGTTGGTTCCCCACAATTCCGGCCGTTTCTTACGGATTGCTTCGCGAAAACGCCTCATGATAGACAAGTAGTATTCTCCATTGACTTTTTGACCAGTTGGAAGGAATTTCTAGTGCACAACACCGCAATGATCGAAGAAAACCATGAGCATGACCTTGACATTTGACTGCAAACGGCGAACTTTCTTCGGTCTTGTTTCATTTTTCAAATCCATTCTGATGATTGTTGCTTTGTTTCGACGTCGTATTGGTAAATTCATGTTTCATCACCAGTTATGATCCGTTTCATGTATATGCTGTCTCTGGATACCGTAGAAATCATCTCAGACGACACCAACACTCGATTCTTTTTTTGGAGAAAATTCAGGTTTTTCAGAATCAAGCGCGGTGCGTACATTGTAATGTACGTACCGTTTCATTTCCAGTACATTGGACAAAATGTGCTGGCACGATCCAAATGATATTTCAACTTCATCTGTTATCTCTCGCACAGTCAATCAACGATGTTTGAGCACTAATTCTTTCAATTTCTCAACGTGAGCGTCATCCGTTGACGTTGATGGTCTTCCAGGGCGTCTTCAACGGATTTTCGTTCTTCTTGAAACTTCTTAAACCACTCAAACGTACTTGTTTTCAATAAACAATTATCGTCATAAGTTCTTTGCAACATTTTGAATGCGTTTGTGAAAGAAATTTCGTTTGCAACACTAAATTTCAAACAAATTCTTTGCTTCATATTTTTCGATGTCGTAAAAATCGCCGCGCACAAAAATCTTCACTGACAAACAATTGGCACTCTCAAACGGCTTGAAGGAACGCCATAATTTTTCCATCAAATATGAAGGACATATGTACCAACTTAAGAAAGCAAACGGATTTCATTTATAGTTTTCCCGCGATTTTTAAAAAATAAAGTTCAGATATTTTTTGATCACAGTAGTATATTGTAAAAAAATGTTAAAAGCAATAGAATGTACAAGCAGTTACCTTAACAAAGATTTTCTGTTTATAATGATATTTGCAAATCAAGATGGTTACTCACCGCATGTGGTTTGGCAAATTTATAATAGGATTGCAAAAACTTTATTTGAACGTCTATTTGCGGTGTAACATGAAACAACGTATAGTTCTCATAAGTGGCAAACTCGCCGGCCGTTATACCAACGAAAGCACATAATAGTATCACCTTCCACATTGTAACTGTGTGCAAACAAATTGTATGTTATCCTTCGATTTTAACTCGTGAATTTAAAATTCATTTATTTTTTACTACGTAGTATCGTCTGTATTATCATAAATATTTCAAGCAATCCAAATTAATTAGGTAAATATTGATTAATCCTTTAATTACAATAAATTAGTTACCGAATCTCGGCGATAGACAGATCGGTATTAATCTTCAAATTATTTTTGCTCTGTTATGCTTCGACAGATACACCGTTAAGTTTCACGAGAGATTATTTTTAGGATACTCTTTATACTCTAAATACTATCACTGTTTCATCTATTGTATTCTATTTTGTGCTAAGAATCTGGCTGTTAAATTTCCTAAAGTTAAACTCGTGAAATTTCTTTAAATCTGCAGTTTACACTAAAATTTACAGTACTTACTTGAATGGTTATTCGAATTTAGACACAAAATGTATTTTATTTATATGGAGTGTAATGGAAGAATATGTGTTCCGAGGGAGCACTTTTCGCCTTTATATATGCGCAGCTTTTTTGTGGTCAGAATATACTGGTGACAAGCTGGTGAATATACTGGTATAGACAAGCTAAAGTGCTGATAATCCTTCAAATGTGTTATGATAATAATAATGAATTTTACAATGGAAGGGTTGATAGTCATATGCATTACAACGGCTTCACAATCGTCGCTTATTTTAGTAAGATTCAAGTCTTACTTTGATATAACATATCATAGCTACCATGTATAAAAATTCCCGAAGAAATCAGAAATAATTTTGTTAATGGTATAAGACAATTTGCAACACAATCTAATTGACTATAATGAGAAGAAAATGTTAAGGAGCATAAAGAGGGGATAGGAATGTCGAAAGAACATGCGCATATTTATACAGAAATTAATATAATAAAATTTATTAATTAGAAATTCGTATGTAGAAAATCAATGTTTTATCAAATAAAAATATATCATCATATAGCAAAGCAACACAACTCGAAGAATGTAATTTCTTAGGACATATGAAGAATAACAAGAGAGAGATCTCAATAAAATCAATTACATATAATTATATCATTAACTGCAGATTAACATATTAGTTTGTTTTTTAATTTTTTTTTCTGCAGTCTTAAATATTGGAAATATGTGGAGATGATGGTGTCATTTGTTGTCGTTACGATGTGTTATTTTGCGCATCTTTTCACAAGATTAATTCAAAATGAAATATTTTCGAGCTGTGTCACTGTCTCACTTCTTCGTGGAACATGACAATTAAGCTATATCAAAGAAACCATAATGCAACGACGATGCTTTCCTATTATATCGAAGAGCCTTTCTTCTAGATTTATAAATCTTCAGACAGAAGCGTAGCAAAAAGACTACATTCTGGGATTCGAAGCGCATGCACTTATCGTAGATGAGTAAGACACTACATGAGAAGTAAAATTGGAGAAGGCAGAGCGAGGAGACCGATATACTACTAGAAAAACAGAAACGTTTTGTATGTCTGTGTGATTACAGTTAGTGATATTAGGGATGGAATGTTAAAATATATAGGGATGAAAGATAGAGGTGATTACATACAGTACCATAGTTTCCTTTTCGAGAGCCAATAGATTTATTGGTAAGTAGGTAACAAAAGATGTACTAGTAAAAATATAATTAGTTACAGGCATTACATATTTGGAGATATGATATTTTGTTTTGTTCCTTTTTACCTTCTAGACATTAGAAACACAAACTTGTTATTTTCTTAGATAAAAAGTGCAATATTGTGCATTTTTTAACCAAGAAGTCACATGTGCGGCATGTTGAATAAAAAAAAGTCATTTTGACGATGATATATCAAGACACGTCATTGTATAGCTTACGAGTCTTTGTCCACATTCGATCCTGCAAAAAATTTGATTTGTACAAATTTTTTACAATGTATAAATGATAGCTACGACGAAAATGGTGAGTATTAACTTTATCCCGATTTCCTGAGAAATCGATAAGTTGTCCATTAATCGGGTACGTCAGAATAATTATTATCAGATCACACATTAAAGACAGTGGTTGCAAGATTATTATGGTTTTATGATAAAGTGTGTAAAGGAATGTGACAACTTTCACACTATCTCAAAGAGATTACAACCCAATAATGGTGCTTTCTTAATATTATCTCGAGAACCATTCTTTTTTTCTAGATTTTAATGTCTTCAGCTAAAAGTGTACACGGAAAAAAGATCTGCTATATATGGACAACTAAATATAATTTGCTGTATTATTTTATGTCAAAAACGTAAAAATCCTTATTTCTCAAGTGTGAAATTATTAAATTTAATAATTCTAACAATAATAATTATTAATGTTTTTAAGAATCAGCTGTGTAGTAAAAATCAATATTAACTGTGAAGTCGATAACAAATGATAAAACGATATGTATGTTGTATAACTACGGGCTTGAGCGTACGAATTCTACGCGATATTACTGGTAATTTTTGATCTGTTATAATTCAAAAACTATTGTAGCCTTGACATTTTTGTATAAGGATTTTTTACTCTACTTTATCTTTAAAATACGCTATTAAAATATCTTACGGTGGTTGTGAGACATCCTGTAAATAAACCTTGCAATGGAAAGATCGACAGCCGTAAGCAGTATAACGGCTTCACAATCGTCGCTTAGTTTAGTAACATTCAGGTCTTATTTCAATGTAACATACATAGCTACCATGTATAAAAATTCCCGAAGAACTCACAATCAATTTTGTTAATGATATAAGACAATTTGCAACATAATCTAATTGATTGTAATAAGAAGGAAGTGCTAAGGAGCATACAGAGGGGACAGGAATATCAAGAGAACATGCGCATAATTATACAAAAATTAATACAATAAAATTTATTAATTATACAAAATTTTTATTTATTAAATATACAAATTTGTATATAGAAGATCAATGTTTTATCAAATAAAAATACATCACGCATCATATAGAAAAGCAACACAACTCGAAAAATGTAATTTCTTAGGACGTACGAAGAATAATAAAAGAGAGATCTCAATAAAATCAATTAGATAATATTATATCATTGACTGCAGATTAACATAGTACTCTGTTTTCTAAACTTTTTTTCTACAGTTTTAAATATTGGAAATATGTGGAAATGATGGTGTCTTTTGTTGCCGCTACTAAGTGTTATCTTGCACATCTTTCTCCACGAGAAAACAAATATTTTCGAACTGTATCACTTTCTTATGTGACGCGCGACATGTCGATGATATTATTTAATAATGATTAAACGTAATCCTTAAACTTTATTAAGAGTACCGCGCGCTTCCACTTCCTTCATCAGGGCCACGACAGAGTCCATTGTTTCCTCTCCAGTCGGGATGATTTGTTCGGGCGGTAGCAGGAAGCCGTATCTACCTTGATCGCGTAATTCGTAGGTATAGACATAGCGTTTGCCATATGTGCCCTTGATATAATCTATGGTACTTCCTGTGGCAACGTCTGTAGAGAGGTTAACATTGTTTATATATATATATATATATACATATGTGTGTGTGCGTGTCATATATGAATGTGTGTATGTATAAAAAGGCTCAATACTTCACTCGAGTTTCCACTGTTACAAACTAGACGTGTAGTCGGGATATAGCATAGAAGATTGATTCGAGTTACGATTACGGAAATAAACAGACAATTAAATGCGATAAAAAATAAGCTGCTATTAGTCAAGAATTGTACAAAAAAAATTCTAAATATGACAGATGAATTTGGGAAGTTAGGAAAATACTGAAAACTTACAGATTGTTTCGGCGATATTTCCGGTTATGTATCGAGTCCCGTATCTCTGCCGGATAGCATTGATCATTTTCGTACCGACAGCGTACTGAAATCATTAACATCGCATCAAGGATTGTGCAATTCTGGCCACGCTAATCGCATCAACGCGTTATAAAATACGATACGGTCAAATCAATTGTGAACACGTTGACGGAATATTGATACTAATCGAACAAATTTATTCTGCCGCTATTATATTTAAATTTTCACGCCACTCTAGCGACGGCTCTTATTAATCTTCTTTCTTACTAATTGTTTTCTTTCAGAGCCTATACTAGTCATCTTTGTTGATAACATATTTTTAAATCAGGAGTGTTATATATAAATACGATAGTATATTATTATGGATCTACTGCCGAGAAGTCGGATGATTCATCAGATAAGAATTGATTAAATTCTATAGCAAACAAAAGCACGCTTCTCATACGAGTTTCGACTAACAATCGGTTTCATAGCATAATAATTTGCACTATCTCGAGAAGATAATGAAGGTACCGATGATTTTTCTATTATCTTGAAGAATATATCTCGTCTTCGAAATTGTTGTACATTCCGAAGAAGAAAGCGTCGACCTTGTATCTTATTTTCGGGATCACTTACCAGTTCGTCATAATTCTCCAAATGATCCGTGGTGTGTCCGTAAGGGAACATTAGGAGTTGCGAGTAGCTGTGGATTGACAGATATACGGAGAAATTGCCCTTCATTGATTCGATGTAGTCGGACATGCTCTTTGTTTCAATATCAGAGAATGGTGCGCTTCCGGCGTATGTTTCGGCACACGGGTTAGAGCTGGCACCTCCGGCTGAAAACCGAATCAAGACACGGTAATATTAACAAATGTCGAATATTAATAAAAATTAATTAGTAGGATTGAAAAAATATATATATATATATATATATATATATATATATATATAAAGTTGACGTTGCGTGCCGCCATCTCTTAAAAGCAACATCTTTATCCTGCCCGACACAGGATAAAGATGTTGATACTATTCGAAGCAAATGAATGAGAAGATTTAATCGAGTGCAAGTCACGTTTGCACATCGTTAGCGAGCATGCTGAGTAATTTTTAATTAATAATTCACATATATAGACACCATGGTACTCACTGTTCCACTTGTAGTTCCAGTTCCTGTTCGGATCGCTGCCACGACATAAACCGTACGGCTTACGAGTCTTCCTCCACATTCGATCCTGCAGATATCGTTCACATAGGCTCGTTCACATTTTAATATTTATCGCTTTTCCACTTGTTTTATGTGAGATTCTCAAATTTCTATTCTAATTGTGAGTTAGATCCAAGTTTCTCAATCAAATTACGATATACGTGATATTTATACATGTAGTCGCGATTAAATTGAAAAAGCTTTCATCTAATTCTGAATATCTTACTTGTGAGACGAGTTTCAAGCAATAACTGTTAATCATATACCAGATACTACATGTTACAATTAATTTCCGATAAAAGATAGCGATTATTGTCTTTACCTCGAATTTCGCGAGAAGGGTCGATAAAATGTCTATTGTTCGTAAACATGAATTTTTACCAAATATGAATCGCGCATAGTCTCACCAATTAAGAATTACAACGTTACTCTTAAAATGAATCAGTCAAACATCACTGAAAACAGTGAATATACATTGATTGCAGTTATAAGTATTGCACTGAAAGTGCTCAGTGCTATACTTGGAACTGTTATCAATGACTATTCACTGATTCACTTTAAGAGAGTACATTGTCAATCGTAAAATATTTCGATGTCGTGGAGTGCAACAATTCACGCTATCTCAAAGAAACCATAACGCGGTGGCGATGCTTTCCTATTATTTCGGAGAGTACTCCTTTCTTCTAGATTTCTAAATCTTCAGCTAAAAGCATAGTAAAATGACTGCATTCTGGGGTTATCGAAGAGCATGCACTCACCGTGGTATGCGTGTATACGTATCCGTCCGGGTTGAATGAGGGAAAGATGTACCAGTCGTAGTTCTCGGCTATATTTCTGATGTCCGCATCCTTGCTAGTCATTAATTGGTGAAATATGTACATGGTGGTGGCCGGCGTAATCCATTCTCTGGCGTGAATACCACCCTCGATGAACACGCCGGAGTTGTTCGGCTTGAAGGATATCTTCACGCCTTTGATCTGCCGTCCTTCGTATGTCGAGCCGCCCACGATCGTCTGCACTTTGTCGGGGTATTGCTTGACCATGTTGTCCAGGTTCTCGTAGATCTCGTCTAAGGTGTGATAGCTGGTGAAGTCGAAGGAACCCGATCGAATTTGAGGCGACGACCTGTCGAGCAGTTCTTGCACATTCTCTATTTTAACGTTGTAGGGCATGGTGGCTTGCTTCATTATCTCGTGAAACTCTGGCATCTTGTGCGGGGCTACCATAATATCCACGTTTCTGCCCACATAGGTTGCCGATTGCCAGAAAGAGAACTGCGAAGAGACGTTGCGTTTTATTTCTTTCGCATAGATTTAAAAAGAAAATTCAGCTGAGAAGAATTATATCTTTGGACTAATGTGACATCAAAGTCAGAATTCAGAAACATCCGAGTTTCATAGTTCAGAAACATCAAAGTGTCAAAATTGTTCGTAACAATGTCGATGCAGCGTTAAAAATTACATATTGGTGAGAACGTTACACGTGTAATAATAAAATTAATAACGTACGTTATTAAATATACTTCAAGTAACATTCTCTCAACAATTTGCCATTTATTAGGATATTTGCAATTGAGATGGCCACTCACCCCATCGGTAAGGTTTTCGAGTTGGCGCAAGAATTCCACCTGCTTCTGCGTGACCGGCACAATCCTGAAGACCTTATAATTCTCGAAGGAAGCCTTATGGGCGGCCGACAGGCCCACGAGCGCGCACAGCAGTATTGCCTTCCACATGGTGACTCTGTCGTAAAAAACGTATAATACATTATTCTTCAATTCTAGTACCGCGAAATTAATTCACATTAATTATTGTCAACACGCAAAATCTCCGTAATAGTGTATAGTCTCAATCAGAATACGCGCTTCGATAGATACGACGTTCAATTTTCATAGTTTAGCTCGGAGTGAGAACATTTGTTGGCTTACCCTTTCATGAAACAGAAGCACTTTAATCGCCAGTACTGTTTCGTTCAGTATATTTAAACACATCGGTGCACACGGCACCAACGATTCGCACACATCCGGCTGGTTAATTGAGAAAAATCACGGCGATCAATCAAACGAGGAACAATCATCTTGAGTTTGCCGTCTTTGGTATTATTAACTTCGAAAAAATCGCGTTATCGTCCCGATTGATTTGACATGCTTGATTTATCTAGGTGACATCTCACAATGACATCACCAATTCAATCTGGGTTTCCCAAGCTGATAAATATTTTAAATATTGCCGAGTGTATCTAAATGTTGGTGTATTTTCGCATTGTGACTTGCACAATTGTGACGTGTTATCTAGGTTTCGCGCGAGTCGGAAGATGCAAAATTAGTATGCTCTCTCCAGAATACAAATGATAATGATACAAAGTTCATGAAAAAAAGTTATTATATTTCCTTTATGAAAATTTGCAAATCGAGAAAATTGCCGGACTCGTTGCCAACGAGTGTGTCCGCCTGTTTGCATATTTTCTCACACATAATTTTCTGATAATAAGAGAAATTTTATTTTTTCTCGTTTGGAATAATATACAGCGACAATTTGAAACACCGTCTTTGTATATTCGCGAGTAATCTGTCTCTCTTTAACTATTTCATATTCTTTAGTTGCATTATTGATCACATAGTTTTATCAATCAATCTTATGTTGACAGTCTTTATCGACGATTTTATTTTTAATCATATCGCGACAATCAAGTAAAAGACAATAAGTAAACTTATTCAACTTTTTTATTCTTTATTGGCACAATTTGTCTGACATCACGAGATATTCTGTCGATATCTTATTGTTATTGTGTAATTATTTTTTTAAGCTTTTTGTTTAACTTTCATATAAGTTAACTATTTTAATTTTTTTTATAAGTTAACTGTTAACATTTTCATATTTTTTTTCATATCGTTTAAAAAACTGCTCTTCTTTTTATCTTCAAGTCGAGTTACTGAACTCTATTTATAAATAGAGTTACTTAACTCTATTTGTAAAATAATTTTTATCAATGATGCATTCTACAGTATTATTTGTAAAGAATCTATAAAATATCATTTATAAAATATTAAAAAAGTGAGGATAAAATTAATATTTCTGAAATGTTCGTTTAATATTTTTTACTCTTACCGGTTGGCTGTAATTTCAATTAATGGATTTTCCGTTGCGATAATTATTGTTTGCGGTCTATAACTTTTCATTTCTTTCATTTTTCTTTATAGACATGAATGTTTTATCGCGATAAAGAGTTTAATTCTCAACTTGAGACTGATAATAATATCAGATTCTTAGGATACTTGATAATAAACGATCACTCGATTAAGAATATGCCAGACAATAAGGAAGTCCAAAAAATGCATTCATAACATGTCTACTTGTGTTATTCTCTTAGGAAATCTCGCTTTGATATTCACAAAATTGCCGAGTTCGTCGAAAGTCAACTTCTTACTAGTCGTTACTTCTGACAGAATTTTTCTTAGCATAGTTTAGAGTTGCGAAATATCTTTTGTATACATATAATTTCGGTTGTATCATATATAATTTCTTATATATAATTTCGATACCCGGTATTTTTTAGAAATAAACTTAAAAGAAATTATAATCTTCTGAAACATGATCTTTACAGAAAAGATCCAAGAAATAATGTTTGCAGATAAAAATAAATCGACGGACGTTTTGTATCGAGAACCTGGCTGTTAAATTTCCCGAAGATAAACTTGTGATTTTTTACTACAAAAATCACGCAAGTTCGCACTTAGTTTATGATACTTACAGGACAATGACGTGGAATATTACTCGTTCCGTCTTCATGAAGTGAATTTAAGGAAGGTATACTCTGAGCAATCCTATTGCGAGTTTATATATATACCGCGTTTCCGACGTCACGATACGTACGTGAGATACGTACAAATTAAAAAAGATCATGGTATAATAACCGACCTCGTGTGATGAATTACGGGAATGCATGGGACAGCTGTGAGCACAGGCTGCCCTACATTCATCGTTTGCCTTGATAAGATGCGGGTCTTATCTTTATTCGACATACCGCAGCTACCATAGATAAGAATTTCCAAAGGACACACAGTTAATTTAATTAACTAAATAAGACAAGTTACAACATTACGCAATTTAAAAGGTTGTCGTACTTATTAAAATTGAAGAATATTGAGTCTTTTATCTATTGCAACAAAGAATATTTTGATTTTTCTCTGTTTCTCTCATTTTTAATTTAGTTCGAAGAGTAATTGCGTCGTTATACTTCTATCAGAGATTGTAAACATTTTCTTTGAACGTACAACCAATCTTTTAAATGCAATTAATTATACTTTGTACAGAATTTAATGAAACGCATTAATATAATGCTAACCGATAACATCATGGTGTTTAAAATGTTAACAAATTAAGTACGACGTGCGGATTAGATAAGGCGAGAGGTCTGGTTTGAAACAATCTATTTTACATTTGACGTTTGTTACGATATATTTATTAACAATGCTTTAGAAGATTTTAAGCCCATTCTACAATTGCGTAAGCGTGGTCGTAAACGTAAGAATCAACCAATTAGAATATTTTATTTACTGATTGCATTATTCTGATTGATTGCCATAATCATCTACAACCACGTTTATGCAATTGTAGAATGGCCGTTATTTGTGTCGCGCGTGTACGAACACGTCTACAGTCTGTAGTAACATAACTATAAGTTCATATGAACTTATTTATCGCTCACGTAACATTGTATGTACATAAACATATGTATGTATCTGTATACACACACTCACACACAAACAAACACACACACACGTGCTCGCGTGCACACAGGGTGTCCTGTAATATATATGAACCACTTACCTGAAGTGTGAATTACAATAAAGTGAGGAAATAATAGCTGTATTCACCTAACTCGTTTAGTTCACTTTTACGCTTAAAGCTTTATTCTATTTTCTATAGAAAATAGAATAACATTTTTAAGAACGAGACAAAAGCTAGTGAAATATAAATGCTTCGTATATCAAGCGTATTGATTTTTTGTTGTGATTACACTATATTAAAAAATCAAAAGACAAAATCGGCTGTAAAAATTAATATGAGAGAAATATAAAGAAAATGCTAGAGATATGCGAATCAAAGATTTTTTATGTCGAATCGAATCGAATTGTTGAAAGAATTTTTGATTAACATAATCTTGAATTCAACATGAAAATAGTGAATTCAGTATGAGAGAGATAACATTGATCATGTGATATCAATTCATTTTAAGATAAGAGATATATAATATATAATCGGTAAACGTATAATATAGAATACAGTTCCATCCTTGAAAGCTGCGCAATGACACGTATCGATCCGACAGTTGTCGGTAAGAGTTTATCTAGAAACCATTATCTTCTTTTACAATTTTTGAAAAAATCTTAATGTATAGCAAACTTTTCAAGTCATACTAATTCTCATAAGGCTAGATGTCTTTAATAGTTCTTTATTAATGCTAATATATGTGATTCGTATTCGAATCTTTTCGATACGAAATTTTCGAATTATTCGGATTCGAATCATCCCAGTGAGAAATGACTCGTCGATCGACGTTGAAAAGACGCCGAATCGACGTCGATTCAACGTCGTTTCGACGTCCATCGAGGAGTCATTTCTCACTCGAATTTGAATCAAATCGAATTTCACTTGATTCGATTTTATTCGAATTCAAATAATTCGCACATGTCTAGAAAATATTTAGGATTTTTATAAAAGAAGCAATAACAGATGACAAATCGATATATGCAGTTCATGCGCAGTTACGAAATCTATGCGTTAACATTGGCGTAGTTTAGTCGCCCTTAACTTAATAATATAAGTTTCGTGTTAGAATCTTCAATTCTAATTTAATCTCAGAGTACGCTATTAAAATATCGTACAATAATTTCGGAATACCCTGTGTGCACACATACACGTATACATGCGCACACAGATGATCGATGCGCTCGACACAGCTTATAATCTTTGAAATATAACGCGCATTACGCGATACACATATCAACATGCGATGCGCTAATTAGATTAGGAACAAGTTTAAGCCTACATTCTCGAAAAACCGTAGCACATCATAAAAAACATACACAATAATCACGAGTGACTCATTGGGACTTGCAACATTCTTGTCCCAGCGTCATACATTATATAAACATACGAGATAACATTATCGCCCCAAGGTATATGCAAAAGGTACAGCAAAAGGTCTCCATGTATGAAAATTGGACGATATTAAAATAGATAAAAACAATTAAAATAGGTAGAAACGCCACTGATATTTATAAGACAATTCAGAAATGATCACTTTTCATGATACTCTTGAGATTAATAGCGAGATAAAGATATCACGAATATTACACGTCAATGAAATTTGCTCATATCGATCGCTTGTATCGTTCGCGTTAAAAAAATGTGAATCTATGCAAGAACAAGAGAAAACGATACATTGAGAATTCCCACGAATTGAAAAACACAATTGAAACAAGTGATACACGCAGATACTTCAGAGCGCATGAAAAGTCTGATATACCAAAAGATTCATCTCCGTGTAAAATCTCTAAGGGCCGGTTTTTCAGTAACAGTTTAAACTTGGATTCAAGTTTAAACTCTATTCTAATAATGTGTTTCTTCTGTTTAAACAGAGTTTAAGTTGAAATCTAAGTTTAAACTATCATTGAAAAACCGGTCCTAATTCTCGTAAAGTTAATTCGCTCGTAGAAAATGTAATGAAAAGTGCATCATAAACAGTGCGATGATCGGCAACAGGCTTTGAGTACTATAAAATATTTTCCGGTGGATTGACAATATTTTACTTTACGGTCAAACCTCTCTTTAGTCGTCTCAAACGAGCAGCGCATATATGTGACTGTAAAATTATAATTCATGTACTATATACGTGCACGCGTACGTTGATAAATGTTGCTTTTCTAACGATTAAATAAAAATCTCACGTTACATCACAGTTTGTGGTTTGCCACGTATTTCAATCTATTAAAAGTAGATGTCCAGCTTCTCCGTTGTTTCGAAATTGCATCAAATTGTTGACTAAAATCCTCGCTGGAAAAAAGATCTCGAAGAAGGAGTCGGTGGATAATGAAAATTTAACAAATTCGGAGTACTATGAGGAGAATAATACAAGCACCGAGTAATAAACATCGGTATAATTAGAAAAACCATTGTTCGGTAAGATAAGAACTAAAAAGAAAACGCTTATTATATTCATATAAAAATTTTTAATATTTAAAGTTTTTTTGCAAGTTCAAATTCAACTATACAGATGGATAATTGTATAGTCAAATGTACAACAAAATTTTCTAATGTGGTCACATTTGAAAACTTTTTTTTGGATAGATCTAGAACATAATCTAAGGTTCCTGTTCTATTAATGATCTAAAATGCTTCGTCAAACATCTCATTGTTATTTCTCAATATAATGAAAAATCTTTCCTAAAGTAATTTTTCATAAAAAAATGCTGATGCGATTTACAATATAATTTTTGAAAGAAGACCAAATGCGCACTCAGATATACAATATTAATATTAATCTTAATATAAGTCTTAATATTAAATCTTAATATTAAGTCTTAATATTAAGTCATAATATTAATATTTTTAATATAGTCTTAATATTACAAACACAGTCATAGTCCAATTTTTTACGCTCATTTAGATGTTTCATTATATAACAAATTGTTATTAATATCATCAAGATTTTTCACAAAACCTTCCTTTTCTCCTTTTTCCTTGGAATTGATTGTAAAACCCGTGATATTGTTATTAATCTCTTCAGGGATATTGATGCATATGTTTAGCCTTTTTTTAATTTATTGTTAACAAAAACAAAAATTATTTCATACAATTCTGCAACAAGAAAATGAAATCTCATCATATGATTATGATTGGCAGATGTCATATTTATGTTGCTTTAAAGTCTAGTCCCAAAAGAGATTAAAATCACATGTATAATTTGATGTCCTATGCTTGTGCCAGATGTTTATCCTATAAATTTCCGCTTTATATACATATACATAAATGTAAACAAATAATATGTATATATATTATTGTGCATATGCACATAATGTATAACACAATTATATACATACATATACATACATATATATATATATATATATATATATATATATATATATATATATATATATATATATATATATATATATATATGTATACATATATATGTATACGTATACATAGTATATAACAGAAATAAAAAATCTAAATTATCAAATCTGTATAACTGATTTGATATGTAATGTAGTTACGGCACAAACAAGAATATCAAATTTATGTTTGGCCGATATAGTATTCCATTCGTTTAACAGCTAATTGTCTCTGATCTGTAGAGGAATCCTTCGATATTCGTATTCGCTTGGTGTATAAATCTATTTTTCCCCGTGAATTGTTACGAGGAGATTTTTACATCGTTTCTTGCGATCACGAAGTCAGAAGATTTTCCCCAGTTTCCTGTAAGAGAGAAGAAGAATATTTAGCCGGTTTGAAGTGAACGTAAAAGAGATAATAAGCGTTCTCATTTGTCATACCATAAATTACTCACTCCATCGTTTCCTGACCCACATCGATCGCGCTTTGCTAGCTATGACTGCCTTGCATCCCGTGAGGGAGTCTGTGATTTTGAACATGACTTACACTAAGTTGCCTCGTGGCCATTCCACCGCCACACTGACTGCTCCAGTCCGCAGTAGGCACCGGGGTACGGTAGAATTTCGATGAAGTCTTGTTGAATATTGGCAACAACTCGTTTGCCTCAGTAGACAAGGCCTAAAAATAAAAATTCGATTAACGCTTCTATTCTACATTTCGAAAAACCTCCTCTATTTTCCGTATTCATATCTGCCACGACGAAATTTGTGACAGGCTATACCTTCAGATAAATAATAGCATCTGTCCCGTAGCCCTCGCAGCTGAGCAGAACGATATCGCCATGCAGATATCTGGCATACAACCTCGATAATGGGAGGCCGTAACCGTATCCTGCAAGCGGCACTGTATGCGCGTCCGACCTGCTCGGTTGCGGAGCGGTACTATACATATATTTAAATAAATGGTCCGTTTCTGAACGGGGTATACCACCACCCCTGTCGGATATCTAAAACAAACCGTCAAATTGACGGTAATTGCTTTACTTCCAGTCTATATTCAAGGTAAAGGCACCAATTCCCGAGCATGTACCTAATCCTGGGCATTCTTATTGTTTTGGTCTTCATATACAAATATTTAAACTTTCAATATTGGAATATATGTATATATTCAATATATGCATATATATTTTATGTTAAAAGTTTAAAAGATTGTCCAGAATTAGGTACATATCCGGACATTGGTACTTTCACCTTACTGGTTTGTTCATTGCTGGTCCTTGAACTTTTGTCCACATATGCCCACACATAAAAAATTAAATCTCTTTCTAATTATAAAAAAAATCTCTTTCTAAAAAAATTACATTTAAAAAGAAGAAAAGTATAATTTCCAGTCCAATTACGCGTCAGCCTAGAAGCTGAATCGACATTGAAGAAACCTTCTTTGTAACCTTCATGTACCTTCTCTGTATTTTGCTTGTACCTTCACACAAATATCTTCTTTACCACGCACTAACATGACTTCCACCGGTGGATAATTGTCCGAACCCTCCCCATGGTGTTCCATCACAGCTCGCATACTATTCTTGAAGAGCTCGAATAACATATGGTACAAATGGCTCGGCACGTAAATGATCCTAATTTCGCTACTGCGTTCAAGTTCTAAAAAAGAGAGGAAAACGAAAGACGCAACAATTAAATCCAAAACTCTGTCACTATTATCCCTTTTAAAAGAACTTGGAATTCTAATATATTTTATCAAACATTTACTGTATTAAGATAATACATATGCATTTCGTCATAACAAAACATGTAGGAATAACAATGACGGCGATTATGACTATGCGATATAAAAAGAATCTACCTCTATAGAAAATCGTTTATCCCATACTACTTACTAGCGTGTAACACTTAGTACAATCAACATAGTTCAAACTTGCCATTATGTTGCTTGATTATAAGTTCCGGGCTAGCCATATAATATTGATCGCATAAAAACCGTGCGTTCTCATAAGCGTCCTTAATGACGCCTATCACGTCACACGACGGGTCTATACATCCCACGTGTCTATTGTGCCCATTTAGTCCACCGAAAAGAAGCGCTGAAACACAGAAAGATTTAGAAACGTCGGTTAGAACACCGATACAATTGACTCAATCTTCCAGAGTAGTTAATATCTACTCACTGTGCTGATTGATCAGCATACGAATGGAAATACGCGACATGAAAAATCTATCGAGAAAATACTGAATGCTGTTCTCGGTCTGAACGTCCACGTCGTGGGATTCCTTCAGCTCCAGGACGCCTTGTGCCATCGTTTGGACAACGTCGGTGTGTCTGTTCCGAATCTTTATTAAAGCCTGACAAAATCTGTAAAGAAAGAAGCTCATGACAAGGAAACTTTAACGATATCATCCGGGAGGATGATGACGTGATTCTTGTATACTCACTTATACAAATTATTGTGATTAATCTCAACCTTCTCAAAGTGTATAATCTCCTCAAAAGATGTGGCATATAAATTATTCACGATACCCACACTAGGCATCTTCAGCAAATTGTCTGGTAGTAAGTGAATCTCCTTCATAATGTTGGCGAGCCTCACCGGCAGTTCCTTCCTCAGGAATATAAAAGACTTCCTTTCACAGGCACTTATACCTAAAAAATACATATATAATTGTAATTGCAAATTATAACTATAATTGCGAGTTATAACTGTAATTGCGAACACATAAATAATTGCAAAAGTTGCTTAAACAGGGTATTTCTTATCAGAGATGGTGCAGCCAGAAAGACAGTGATTCTACAAGGAAAGATAAATAGAAATAAAATTCTTTTATAAAAAGGTTTTATTTTCAATTTAAAAATATATTGTAAATATTTGAATTAGTTTTTTTTCGAATTAATGTGATCAGTTTTTAATAAATAATATATTCTAACATATCTTACAGAATATTGAAATAAAAAGACGTCTTCGAAACATCTTTTGATAATGTGTGATGCATGAGTACTTTTTCGACAGACACATTTCTTTTTTCGACTTGTCTTCTTCGCTCTTTCTTTTTTTCTCTCTTTCTCTCTTTCTTTCTCCCTTTCTTTATCAATTGATGTCTGCAAAAGACAGCAATTAATAAAGAGACATAACATGAAATGACGGTGCATACAACTGTAATGGCGGTGCTCATCAAAACATGTTTTGCCACGTATCATATTTTTTACATGTACGCCAGACGTAAAATACATATTTATTGTTGGAGTTAGAAGTGCGTCGTGTAGAGTGATAACTCATCATTGTGGTATCAAAGCCGCGTGAAAGTTTGTGGAAACGCAACCGCAAGTTCGACGAGCGTTTTACGGCAACTTGACAAATAGCCCGAGATAATTGCGTACAAACAACCGAGCGGCAAAGTCCATCGAAAGAAAGAACGCGTACGTCTAATCAATTTATCTCAAAGGGAAACAGCGTCTATATTTTCTTTCTCTACGTGAGTTTTAGAAAATGTGTTGCTGATATTTCACAGCAACTGGATGTCGTGTTTCATGATAGTGATTAAAACAATGACGCATGTAAACAGTCTTCGGTATAAAGAGGTTCGAAATAAATTCGGTATAGACAATTAAGTCCATTTTTTCCAATAACTTTTGTAAAAGAAGCAACAGATCTGTATTACCGTTGTCGGAAATAATTTGTAGCTCCATCCAATAAATTCAACAAGATAACTCAAATTCTTGAATACATTAAAACTTTTCGTCATCAAACATTAAAACTTCGTTAATATATAATTTCGTCGTTGTACATATACGTCTTAAATAGGCACTTAATTATTCTCTTAATGTATAGACACGTTTTAAATAATCCGCTCCGCAATAACGAAGTTCACGTAAAACCAGTTTCGAACAAGCTTGTTGTCTGTACATACAGACTGCCGAAAATCGATATCAACTTTCTTTAAACCTAAGTCCCAATAATCACAATGATACGCTGACCTACATCGACAATGTGTTGTTGTCATTATTGACAAATATGAGCTATAGCTTCGACACGTGCTCACTCGTGCTTCAAAGCGCCTTTACTAAATATTGGATTCCTCGATACAACGAATTATTCACAATAATTAGCCGAAGCTCTGTATTAATAAAATTCCTCCGCATTACTCGTCGACTGACATCGCTTTCGCTGAAATTTCACGTTTTCGATTTCGTTTTGTCGAACGACGTGAATCGCACCGACAAAAGCCAAAACTTTCGAAATCCAAAATTACACATAAAATGAGTCATTAGCACAGCCGAGTTCGTTGCGCAAAATCGTCACGGTAGAAATGATGGTCGATTCTGCCCATAAATTATTTGTTATCGCACGCGCGGCTGTGCGCCAATAAATCGATCGTAAAACCGCTTATCTTCCCATTGGAGTGAAAATTTAATTATTTACAGACATGCCTGAGACACGCCCGAGTGCGTAACGACAGTGTGTTCTGAAAATAAACCTCGACCTCATGAGAATGCAACGAGGCCGAAGTTTGTCGCGGATTGGGACCGTGAGTCTAAAAAATCGTGGCTCTGTCCTGTATAATAGGCTACAAAAAAGAAAAAAGGAGACTGCGAAGTGGAAACTATGAACAAACTTTGTATTCGTAATGGAACTTCGATCGCGACCGTCAAAGGGCGCGTCGAGACCGGGCGAGACTGTCAACGATGGTAACAAACTGTCTCACGAAAAACAATTAATATTCAACCCTCCGTGCACAATATTGGATCTGTGAGACCCGAATGAATATTCGATCGCTCACCAACTTTCGCAAAGAGTATGAGAAAATTTCCAAATAACGCGAATGTCTGTCTGCACACATAGAAAAATATCATCCTACTGCTAACAAGAGCAATTACACGGTTTATTTTTCTGCTTTTAAGTAACGATTATCTTTAACGAAGGACACACACATATAGTTTTAACCCTTAGCTGACACTCTGGGGTACCAAAAGCCCCAGCGTTTTAGTAAAAATAGTCATTTATTCGTTTTTGTTTACGTTCTCGAATTTTTTTCATATTCAATATTACATCTTATTAAAATAACCTATGACATCTTTTAAGTCGATATTTGAAAACTATTTTGGAATTTTTTCAAGTGAAAAAATTAATAGCTTCCACGCAGCAAGCATTTTAGTGGTTGGGGTCTCAAACAGCTAGTATGCCAGCTATGTGATTATGGTAGAATGTGCCAGCTAAGGGTTAAAATATACTCATCACAAATTTGAGAAAAACTCATCCTTTTTATCCTCAAGATTTTTTTAAATTTTTTCTATAAGAATATTACAAAATTTTATTGAAAAAAGAGTTGGTTTGACTCTATGTAGTAAGCAAATTGAATTTTAGATAAGCAATTTGAATTTGAATTTAATATATATTTCTAATTAAAATAATGTCACATTTACTAGAATTCAGAGTGTAGTATGAGTAGTTTTGTTGCTTATGACAAATTTATAATCAAGATTTACGGACATTCGAACGTAAAAAATATTTAAAACAAGTAAGACAAATGGCCCAAATGATCACTCGAAAGCAGTATTCTTCTGCGTGTAGATTAGAGGATGAGCTTTTCTAAAATTTATAACCAGTATATTTTTTACTTTTGTCAAGGTAATGTGGGTAAGTTCTTTGTTAAAAATAACCATTACATAAAAGCAGGAAGATAAACAGAGTAATTATATTTCTTAGTAGTAGGATAGTATTTTTCCGTATGTACAGATAAACATTCGTATTTGGAAATTTTCTCGTATCTATTGCGGAAATTTTACTACGTTGCTATCTTATAGCTGAAGCTTCCCTATATTTACAGAAGAAAATGTATAACAAAATACCAATTTTTACCAATTTTTAATAAAATTAAGGTTTAAAGTTGTCTGGGTCAAATAGATCCAGATTGTACTGTATGTTCCACAAAAATATGGTTGTACGCGGAAGATTAAGTCGAGAAAAATGGGTTCGTTCGGTGTATCGTAAAACTTCGTCAGTTAGAAAAGTATCGCAAACGAAATTCTTTTAACGAAAGATGTTTTTTTGCTATTTCGTCACAGGACAGATCAGATAATACATTGAATCGCTTTGCGAATGGGAACGACTGATAATGGCGTTTATCGCGCGACGTATAAATGATGGAGAGGCTAGATATATGTCGAACAGTCAACGATGATGATTACACGTTTGCGTGCAATTTTAACCAGCTTTAATAAAGTGGAAACCGTGCGTCATTGTGTTAATTGTGGATTCACGCACCGGCGATTCCCAGGCATTTAATTGAATTTAAGCACGCGCGTGAAACAGTCGCGACGACGTGTTCTACGTAGTTGATAAGAAGAATACGTGACGATACTCAAAGAGTAACGATATTCTGTGGATTATCTGATAGAGGAAACGTAATAATAGAAGACAAAGGATGGAGGAAGAAGAGGATACAAGAAATGAAGAGGAAATGTTTGATCATCGGATAGGATAAGAAAGCAAACTAAAAGTATACGGAAGAAAGATGATACAAGGACAGGCATTGCGCAAATAAAAACACTAAAGTACAAAGAATAATAGAAGTTATAGGATATAGGAAACTCTTTCTTGGTGATGTAAGAAGATACATCGGAAGAAGTGAAGAAAAAGGCGGAGAAATTATTTTGTGGTGTTAGTAGGAAGTATCGAGTACAGTAATAAAACTAACAAGATGAAACAATAAGGAAGAAAATTGGGGTTATAGAGGATAAAAAGGAAATAAGGAGAGCAGTGGGATTATAGGAGATAGCTAGATTTCCTCTCTTTTGAATGTTAGAATATTTTCCTCTTGATTTTGAAGAATCCTCTTGAGGCCAGTATATAAAAGGATTCCGTTAAGGATAATGGGCTTATAATTGCGTAAAATAAAATAATTGTAGTTAATAAAGCCACTTTGTATTACTGATATTATCGATAACCTTGTACGCAAATTGCCATCAAATAACGTTATTGAACGATCCGCGCGATACGTTTAAAAGTTATCTAGCGGTTATCAGCTTTGTATTGAATATCGGAGAGAAAAAGAGATTACATCCTCATGAATTCGCTTCGGGGTGAGCCTGCCTCTGGCGTTTCTCCCAATTTGATTTCAGAAGCAACCAACCGAACAACCAATCGCTGGGAAATTGAACGTCCTTATCAGCCCTGGCCAGACGCAGATCAAGCAAAGGAAGCTTTTAACTGAAATTTCACTTGACACTATGAGAATGGATAAGCGGGAGATTCTGTAGCAGCTGTTCATTCTGTCCCGTATATCGCTCCTCGCGTGTGTGCGTCAACAGACACTGTCGTGTACTGATCGATTGTACTGAAAGTTCCCGACCATGAAACGCCCTTCCGCGGTTATGCAATGTAGTTCAATGCTAAATCCCACTTCGATTGCAAGTGAGGAATCACAAATGCACAAACACCGTATGAATTATTAAATATAATTACATATGCGGCTTTGCTACCAACGTCACGCTAGACCCAATCTTCAAAGAGCGATTTTTAAAAGTTGGAAAATTATTTTAAAGATTCTAAAAAAGAGAAAGAGTTATACTGAGGAAAATATACAGAGGATTCAAGGAACCAAATTGTGCTCTAACTACTGATTTCTTTCTTTTTAGTAATCATATAAAAAATTAGGATAAAATAAAATTAAGTTAAGTAAAAAATAAGCAATAAACAATAAATTAAAATTAAGTTAAGTATAAAAAACGAAAAAAATGTTGGAATTCCAAAATTAGAGATCTAAAAGCACTTGGCGTGCCCGACTCGCACTAGAACATGTAAGCTTTTTTTCAGAAAAAATGTTTATTTCCAGTCTAAATCTATAAAATAGTTTTCCGCAATTAGTAAAATATAGTGTACAATTTATCGTGATTTTTACGAGATTATATGTATTTGGCGGACACCCAAGTGTTTTTGGGTCAAGTATGTTTGGGATTTTTGAAATTCCGATATTTCGTTTTTTATGTGTATCTTAATTTTATTTTGTCTTAATTTTTTATATGGTTATCTATAAAAAGAAGTCAGTAGTTACTATATGTGTAAGTAAGTAGCAATATATATAAAGCTATTATAACGCAATATATGGTATTTTCGTTTAGTATAATTTCCTTATATCGTTCTTTTTATTAAAACAGTAATAAATTATAATGGTCCTCAGATATAAAATCAACAAACATTTCTTCTTTTTATAGAAATAGAGAGAGAGAGAGAGAGAGGGAACAGAAATTTAAACAATATTATATTTTAACGATTTTAAATTTGTTTTATAAATTTATGTAAAATATTTTATATGAGAACATTTTGAATAGTTCTATTCGTGTAAGAAAGCACGTAAATTACTTTTACATGGTCTAACTACCTGATATTACTAATTTTATAAAAAATAGACGTTTTCAACAACAACAACGATATTTCTTATTAATATTTTTTGATGTATTATTTTATACAAGGTTACAGCTTGGTCTTGCTTAAGTTTATAATAAATATACGCGACATAAATTGCTTTCAACGTGCGATCTCTATTGATCGATCGCGGAGATAAACTGGACACCTAACGTGTCTAAGGTTCGAAGTTCTGCAGGAAATTCAATCGCACGTGCCAGTATATGCGTTGGAAGTAGCACATAAGGATATTACCCTCGTAGGAATTAGCATATCGATCTACGTTTTACATTTACATGCCAGTAAATACGTGCGAGTGTCGCGCGTTCGCACTCTGTTGTTATTGTGGGAAGTACGCTGTGCGGGAAAAAACACTGCCTCATTACTCGACAAACGCGACAATCTGCTTACGAAGAACGAAAAAGATATCTCATAGCACACGTTTCTAAGCTATGACACTACGTGCCAAACGACACTGAGACGGAATATCGAACATTGCTCGAAGCGAAATAGCGAACGTTTACAAATACATAAAGTATATCTATATAGCATATATTTGTATAATCATTCGTTATTGTTTAGTTTGGAGAGCTTCGGCTCTGATTAAATTGCGCCTCTCATCGTGCAAACCTATTGTTATTCTTGTAATAGAATTTTATTAAAAAAAATTCAACTATTCGTTTTTCTTTCTTTTCTCATTTAGAGATGTTTTGATACAATTGTGGTAAATTTTATAATACTAATTATATAATAATAATGATAATAATAATAATAACAATGATGATGTAAAGTAAAATAATTACAAAAGCCGAATTTAAATAATCGGTAAACAAATTAAATTTGGACAAAGATTAACTAGTTATCTTGACGATATTTTTCTGATGTATATAATTAATTATTTTTACTTGATAATCTCGTAACAAATATTATTATGCACAATTTGTTTTACCTTTGAGCTCTTCAATCACTGAATCGCTCTGTTCTCGATAATGGAATATCTGACCTTACACGAGACACTCAAAAAAAATAACACGGAGTTCTCTTTCTCTCTCTATCTCTTGATATTTGGCAACGGTCTCTATTCACGTCACAGGCAATCTCGGAGTTGGGCGGAATGAGGAAAAAATCAACGACGCATCGAAATTCCGCCGAAAGCGATGTGTGACGTGAATTGCTATCAAATGTTTATAGTCTGACCTACAAAAATGGAAATGGATTCTGGACTGTCGTCTTCTGGACCTTGTTCCCGCCATGTACGGCTATACATGCATTATAATTGCCAAACCCGCAAATAGTCTCTTTCATTTTATCAACAAGGTGCAAAATGCACGTCGACTGTGCCAAACAGTCGCAGCAAGTGCCCAAGAAATTAGACATCTCTTTATCTTTATTCCACTCCGTTTATCTCGGCTTTGTATTCGGCTTTGTATTCTTTTCTTTTTTCTCCTCAAAGTTTGACCGCACGCGCCTGTTTTGGACTTTGAGACAATGTGAGAAACAACATTGTTAAAAAATATAATAAAAACTTAAAAATAAATCTTTCCTTATAAAAGCTTATAAAATCGTAGAATAAATTTATATTAAAGAAATCCTAACTTTGGCGACTTCGAGAAAGAGTATATTCTGTGAAAATATATTTTTTTCTCTTAAAATCCCAAATGATCTTAATTTCAATAAAATGTATATTTCGGGAAAGTATCTTATTTGTCAGGCAACGTAAGTAATCTATGGTTTGCTAAACATTGATAAAACTAAATGGCATTGATAAAACTAAATGGCATTGATAAAGAATCGTCCTTGCACGTTGCAAGTGCAATATCAAGTGAATTTGTTATGTATTCGTATAAAAAGAAATTTTCGAGCACATTGAGAACACACACGAAGTATTTTTATTTTGTGAAGCGGATTAAGT